GGGTTTGGTGGTGGGCATGAGAGGAGGAGGGTTGCTGGGTTTTTCGACGGGGTGGGGTGGGTTTGGAGGGGCTGGATCCGTAGGGGTCTCTAGAGATGCCATGACTGGTTTTGGTGTTGTGGAATCGAGATGCGAGAGAGTTTCTTTTTTTTTTTGGTAGTCGAGGTTGAGGATTCGATGGTTGGATGGTTTCCTTTATATGAGATTACAGTCAAGGTAGCAGCAGGATGGATATCTAAACTTATATGATTTCTATAATTTTGGTGAATGTCGAATGTTGAGTCCAAATGCTAATGACTAGCCCTGAATCACTTAGGGGTTTCTCGCTACCAGATCTCGCTTGAGTTTGGACCCCCCTTTCCCCTTTTCGTCGCGCTAGACCAATTAACTGTCTAGTAATAACTAAAGACTGGACTGTCGATATTTTGATCATCGAATCAGAACATCATTCTTTAAACATCCAGTCTGGGACTATGGGAAGGTTTTTATATTTACTCCTGGTATACGGATTTCTTTCCTCACAACTAAGATTGAATTAAACGTGTAATTAAACAGGCGAGTTGCGAACCTAAAAGAAATCTTGGATTTATATATATTCAAATCACAATTAACATGGTACCTACCTTTAGTACTAAGGAAGTAAGTCGTGCGCTCTGAGCTTTAAGAACCGGACTTATAGGGAGGCAACGGTTCTATTAGTCGGGCCCTAAACAGACTAAATACCTAACGTACCACTCACTCCTAAAGCTCTACATTTTCCAGTCGGAAAAAAAGAAATGAAGAATATCTTGGTGCTGCGATTAGAGATGTGTGTTTTGTCTTCTTTAATCTTTTAGTATAGTAAATCGATGCACTTGTATTTATCATAGATTCAAGCTATATATATACCCTGGAAAGTGATATTAATATTATAGGAAGATATAATCAAGATAGTAGGACCCTTTTATAAATTCTATTACTCATCCTTCTCACGAAACTCAAATGCTTTCCCCCTGTATATGATATCTCACAAACTTCGTCCGTGTAACCACTGCTCCATTAGCGCCGTTTCGTTCCATATGCCTGAATGATATTTTTATACCTTTCCCCAGAATTCACCTTCTCGCCTTCCTGGAACAGTGCATGTATATCTTATCTTCATCTGAACTCTTGGCTTTTTGCCGAAACCTTATTTCACCATCGGGTTCGATGCGATGTGCAACAAAAAAAGTTAAATATGGTCCGTATGAGGGTATGTGTGAAATATGGTCAGCGGTGGGTGGAGACGAGTGGGTTGTTGGCGTGTTGAAAGGGGGGTGGATTTTGCTTAGTTAAGCCGAGGGCGGGGCCTGGGGTGACTTCTTCTGGATATATTGAATTTGGATTTTGAAGATGCAATTGCGGGTTTAGTGTAATGGGGAAGATGAGTCAGCATATTGAGGAGGCCCCTGCCTCTATATAAGTCTTTCCATCGAAGGCATCTAACAGATAACAAGAATAGACACCTCTCCTTTGAAGAGCCTTCTTTGACCACACTTAATACAATTATGCCTACGTGAACTATACGACACACCGCTATATATTGGGGATGCGGTATACTCCATGTTAGCGCCCTTACATTAGTTGCCTGTTGTTCAGTGATGCAAGCGGTAGAGACTGACCTTTAGGTGTGGGTTTCGGGTCATTTTGATAGGGTGAAGTGCCTTGATGATGGATAAGGGAGGAACGGGAAGGGGTTGGATGGGCTGTCGCTTAAAGCTGTATGAGCTGACAATGCTAAGATGTGTTATGCCACGAGAATTTATTTGCGCTTTGAAGACCCAGCTTAAGCCAATATTGCGCCATCTTTATTCACAATCTTCCTTCCACTTCCACTTCCACTTCCACTTCCACTCCCACCCTTCACTGTCGCCGCTATAACAAGCCCGTCCCCATCCCAAGCAAAGTCCACCACTCCACCACCCCTAATCCTCAACCCCTTCACACTCCCGTTTCCCCACGCACTCGGTATTGCCGGCCCCAGCACCACCTCCTCCTTCCCCGGTAAATCCACCACAAGCATCGCCACCACCGCACCCACAAACCCAAAATTCGCATCGATTTGAAACGGCTTGCTTTTCCCACTATACATACTCAGCCCGTTTCCGGCCAAGTTCTCCGCGATGGTAAAACGAAGCTCGTAATAAGCTTCCGAGGTGTTGTTAAGCAGAGCCCAGCAAGCAGACCGCCATACTTTTTCCCATCCCGCGTTTGCGTCGGCGCCGAGACCGGGACCGCGGTTGATGAGGGACGATGAGATTGCGGATTGGATGCTGGTGTTGGTGTAGCCGGAGAGGAGGGAGGAGATGCTGTGGCCGGGGTACCAGCCGTAGAGGTGGGAGAGGTGGCGGTGTGTATCGTTGGGGACGTCGTAGCCGTAGGTGTCGGGGAGTTTCCATTCTTTGACTGTGCCGAAGGTGGAGATGTGGAGGCCTGTATCGAGAGTTTCGAGGGCAGTGGTGAGGGAAGTTGAGAGGGTTTGGTCGGAAGATGTAGGGGAAGGAAGGTAGGAGATGAGAGTAATGGTATTGGTGAAGAGTTGGTGGATTAGTTGTTGGTAGTGTGTGCAGCCAAAGGTCTGTATTTAAAGGGTGTTTAGTATCAATTATCTTGAAACAGGAGCAACTTACCGTAGGGCCATGTTCAGGGGAATTGCAAGGGTTCACGACCAATGTCCCGTCATTGAAGAATTTGTCTTCCTGAAGTTGAGAAAGCCAGAACTCTGCGACCCCACTGATGAGCGGATATGCTTGGTCTTCTAGCCACGTAGCATTTTGAGAGTAAGTAAAATGATCATAAACATGTTGCATCATCCATGCCATCTCCACTGGAATATTGGCCCATGAAGCTGTATCTCCCATAGCCGTATACCCAAAAATATTTATGAAGCTGTGACCAACCCAGCCGGGAGCGCCATATAATAGTTTAGCTGTATTCGTGCCTTGCGGTATCCAAGTATCTTGCATAAAATCCCAAAGCGGGGACTGAATGTTGCCTAGTCCGGTTGCATCGACCCCCCAATGATTCATTTGAATGTTTATATCGGTATGATAATCTGCACTCCAGGCTGCTTCAATGGTCTCGCTCCATCGCCCAGCTAGATTCGTTGGTAGACTATTCTCTCTTGAAGAAGATATGAAGAGGTGTCTGCCAAGCTGAAACAGTAGGGACTCGAGGTATGGATCGCCAGTATTGTTCGAGGTGTATCGACCGAGTATAACAGAGGTTTCCAGGTTAGCAGAACCTGCAGTATCCGGGAGATTTAAGTCGAATTGTCCCGCATGGCTTTGGTAATCTGTGATATGATCTTGCCGCAAGTCCTTCTCTGCCTTTTGCGACGCTGCTGAAGTTACAGATTCGACGTATGGACCTGGATCCACACCCTTGAATGAGAAACCAGACTTCTCATTGCCCGCTTTCTGGTCATAGTTGGTACCAGCCCCGATAACGAGACTGAGTTTCCGGCTCGTCGAACCGGCCGGGATGATTAGCACACCGGAAGTCGTGTTACTGCAATGTGACGACCCAACATCTCCAACAAGTTGCGCAATGCCATTGTACATCATCCCGGTGGGAGGGCCTAATTGGGTAATCCCAGTTGCCCGAACATGTCGATTACCGCAGGTCGTGTTGAAGAGAGACGAGTCAGTCAGCTGATTATCGAAAGCAATTGATATTTCCGGCAGATCTCCAGAAGACGTGATATCATAGACACAGACATGGTCGGGATATGAGCAGAAGACAACAGTGGTATATATGCTTCCTTTGTTTGTAGTATAGACTGTTGAATGAATTCCAGTATCGAGATCTAGAGACCTGCGGTACTTTGTTGCCGATGTGACCCCGCCAATCGCTACTGAAAGGTTGGCGAACACCTGGTATGATCCGTAGTTATCCTCATCCCCAAGAAGCTGCGAGACATCTGCAAGCTTCAATATTGAGCATCATGGTCTTCAGAGCGGAAAGACATACTCCCCGTCCCGTTTTGGAATATCCACTCTCTTATGCTAGGCAAGTACTGTGATTTGTCTGAGGTCGGATTTCCTCCCATGTATGACTGGTTTAATTCAGTGCGCTATTAAGCGGTCCTAAACATAGGCACGGCTTACTGATGTCTCGAATGGTCCCCCAGCCCAGAGAGAATCAATATTCAATACTACTTTCTCCGCACCGGGGTCGCCAAAAGCCATAGCTGAGGTAGTTCAGCATCCAATTAGGTATTGATTCATGATAACGCACCTCCTAATCGGCCATTTCCAACAGGGAAAGCTTGCCTGATTACGTCTCCGAATGTAGCAGGGCTACTTGACCACAGTACTTTGCTCTCTACAAACAGGGCCGCAAATGAAAAAGAAACAACGTGGGATAGAATCGAGAGCTTCATAATTGTCATAAAGCAGAAGCAGAAAGTAGCTATAATAACCCGTGATAGCAGTAGGCACCAGGAACAAGGCACCTTGCCATCTTATAAGTTCCAAGAAGAGAAATTTGCGGGGTAAAAACGGGAATGGAAAGCAATCTTAACTTCATCAACCATACGAGTATTTCGGCCGCGAGATCATATGCAGAACCCCCGCATCAAATATCCAGCCCTTTTAATAAAATATGAGAGTTTATCCGTCAAGAGGGGAGGGGAGGGGAGGGGACGATGGTTCGGTTCGGGAATATAATAAACCGAAACTTCAGGCGGCTAAAGGCAACGTGGTTTTTGAGCTCTGACGTAGGGCTCTATATAGTAAAAGTAAGGTATGAAAGTACGGAAACGACGGGAAAAGTAAGGTATGGACTGCTTCTCTGACTCAAAGGATTGAGGCTCAATGACAGTTGCTGGTTGTAGATAATTGCCGAGGGTGAGTTGGCATGAAGCCGAGCAAGCACTGCCCCGTCCCGTACTGTGATTTTTCCTTGGGAATTTTATCCCCAGTGTAGACGTTGGGCATGAGCGAGGGCCATGTCTTATGAAGGGAAGAGGCTCTGATTGAAGCTTGGGCATGATACAAAGGAAATTTTAAAGGCGCGTGGAGGAAGCAATGGCAATGTTCTAGTGGGGTGTGGTGCGGTGCGGTGCGGGTCGGGTCGTCGTATACTCGTACCACGTGACTCTCTCTACTCGGTAATCAGCCCAGCCCTCTGCCCCTCCTTCAGGCATCATCGGCGTCTCAAGCGTACTGATTTTCAATCCAACTCGAGTCGGCCAGGTACTCCCGTCCTTAATATAGCCTCCTTCAACTCCATAGCTCCTGTCACAGATTTCACAGCCCAGAAATCTGCATCGTACTACGTAAAGCGACTACTCCTCCCCAACAGTCCCTATGCATGCGGCATTACATCAATAGCGGAGAGTTCACCAGCCATCGCGACTTTCCACTTTCCACTTCCCACTTCTCGTCTCTCACCGAATAAGCAGACACCTGAACTTGGCAGCACGCATATTAGCGGACCACTGAAAGGAGCACCGGGCATTGGGTTTCACCCTACTCACCACATCCATGATCATTTGAGCCTGTGACAGCGCACGAAGCACCTTGGGATCACACCAGTTGCCGTGCCCAACTAAACCAGCCCCTCCTTTTGGCAAGGTTGCCGTCATCCCCACCACGGACCACAGTCCAGACAAGATCGTATCCTCGCAGCCTTATGCTTGACCAACATTACCACTTGCTTTACCTGAGCAGCATTTCGCATCGTCTTGAGCATATCTGTTTGCCATTTCCTCACAGCTCACGACGACGATAGATAGATAGATAATCCAGCCAACAGACGCAATGTCTCGGCGTGGAGGGACAGTTTACGAAGAGCGCGACTACTATTCACGTGAAGGCCCCCCTCCTGCCCCCCCTCCACCTCCTCCGGCTCCTGTTCGAACTCGAGAGCGCGAGAGGGACTATGAGGAAATCGACACCTACTCCCGACGAGAACGAGAGCCAGAGCGGGGTAGTCGCCCAGATTTTCTACGAGAGGACTATGGCCGACCGGATCCCGGGCAGCTTGTCGTGAGAGAGCGAAAAGAAGAAACCTTCAGAAGACCCCGATCTCCATCTCCTACTCGAAGTGTATACCGGGAGAGAGTTATCACGAGATCTCCGAGCCCTCCTCCAGTGCGGATCCGAGAGCAACGAACCGAGAGAGCCATCCAAAGGTCCCCCAGTCCCCCTCCTCCGGTAAGAATCCGTGAGCAGCGCACCGAAAGAATTATCCAAAAATCTCCAAGTCCTCCTCCATTTGAAAGAGTCCGCATTATCGAGCGGGAGAGAGAGCGATCGCCAACCCCACCACCAGAGCGATTGCGCGCCCGAGTGGTTGAAACTAGGGAACGAATTCGAGAGCGCTCACCATCTCCCGTTCGCAGCGTGTACAGGGAGAGGGTCGTTGAAAGAGAGAGGACTCCTTCGCCCCCACCAGTCCGGATTCGTGAGAGGATTGTAGAACGAGAAAGAGAACGTTCTCCATCCCCGCCACGAGTTGAAAATATCCGAATCCGAAACTTTGAACGGCGTCCTTCTCCTTCACCATCCCCTTCCCCATCTCCTCCGCCAACTATACGCGCGCCTCCTATCCACCAAGAAATCATCACTCACCACAGACACATTGATCATGGTACTACAGTCCTCCGATCTACTTGATTACTCTTGTGCTGACAGCTGACTCTAGGATTTGAAATCGCACATGTCCCTTCTCCGCCTCCTCCACCCCGCCGCAGAGAAAAAGAGACTGATATAGATATCCATACATCGCGCAATAATACCGAAATCGACATCAAGCAAACATCCTCCCGTTCTCGAACCCCACAACCGACTTCTACATCATTAGCTCGTCGAGAGAAATTTTACGACGATGACTCTTCCATCTTCGAGGGGGAACGAGATTCATTGAAGATTCGAGATACAAAGTTTGATATCAGCAGCCGACGTAGCGTGAGTGCACGACCAGATACGCGAGAGCGAGAGAGGGTCCGAGTAGATATTAGGGATGATGAGAGCGAGGGGGGTTACTATAGACGAAGGGCAGATGAGAGAGCCTACATTGGGGAGGCATACAATGGAGCTACAAAGGATTGGGCAATTGTTGATGTACCGCCGGGAACCGAGCGGGTGCAATTGGATGGCGTCGGCGGAGGAAGTGAAGAGATCACGTGGCAGAGATATAATGGGGTTAGGAGAAGCAAGTTCATCCCAGAACGAGATCGCTTTCCTGAACGGGCTCCTGAGAGGATCCCTGAGAGACTCCCTGAACGTGGGGTTGAACGAGAAAGAGAGAGAATCGAGATCAGGGACGACCCTAGGCGAGAAGGCACCGGCATGGAAATTGAAATATCCAGCAGTCGCAGACGCGAAGGTGGTGGCTCATATGAGCGCGAATACGAAAGGATTGAGGAATCCAGCGATCGACGCATTGGTATGCCTCGACCTCCTCCAAAGGCGCGCGACGAAAGTCTATGGACGGAAATCACCAAGGATCTCGTGAGCCGAGAAGCTATTGAGGAGATGGGTTACGATTTCGAAGAGACCGAGTTCTTCTTCTACATTATCCAATACTTGAAATATGTATGTTTCCTTCCGTCCATCATTTGTTTAAAGATGCTAACAATCCTCTAGGAGGATGTTCTCGAGCTCGTCAAAGTTACCGAGAAGATACGCCGCGAGCGCCAAGAACGCATTCGTGAAATCGAGCGCGAGCGGGAACGAATCGAGAGAAGGGACCGCGAGCGAGATGAATGGGAGCGATTCAGTAAACGAAAGGAGCGAGAAGTGCCAGCATATGATGACGAGCGCATTATTGAACGAGAAATCATTTACGAGGGTGGGCGCCGTGGACCACCACCGCGCAGAGGGGGCGGCTGGTAAACTGATGAGGCTTATGATGACACGGCTGTTATGATTGCATAGCGAAGCGAAGCGATGCTTGTATTTCCTTTTCTCATTTTTCTCTCTTTCTATTCTGCCGCATATTCTGGTGGGTAGAAGACAGCTCGGGATGCTACAATTCCCGCAGAATCCATTTCCCTGTATGTGTTGGAGGCCACAAGGGGCAGGCGTTGGGCTTGTGAGCAAGTGACCGTGGTTGCTGGATAGGGAGGAATATGTGGATAGATTTTTCTTATGAACTACGAATGATGAATAAACATATATGACGTGCCCCCTTTTCATTTGGTATCTTATTGGCACCGGGGGCTCCACAGGCCCCAAGTTTTATAAGTCATTCTTAATGGTGGGAATGACCTCTTCTCCCCAGTCCAAGTGCCTCTAGTGAATGGAATTTGAATGTCTCATAAAAATCAAAACATTATGCAATTGGATCAGACCGAGGTCTTCACATTGTTTCTAGAGTTTCGGACATCTTGGACAACCATCTCACGCTAGCGCGAGAACGTTGTAAGGTATGACCGAGCCTATCTGCATACATATATCTGCAAGGACAAAGTTAATTATCTACTTCCAGGTCGCAGCAGCCCAAAAACATCATGGATCGAGGATGCGGTCCCATCCGCCCCAACAAGCAGACATTCAAGACCATGTACGAAAGAGGTTATCGAACCTGGTTCATTCTTTACGAGATAGCAGTTGCGGATATTCACTCTCACGTTCCTTGGTGGGAGCTTGAAGTTGCTTTCCCGAGCGACCTTGTGGTCGACGCGGCGTTCTCGAATATTGCGTTTGTCAAGGGAACTTCTACGTGGAGGACCACGAACGATTCTTGCGATTTGCCGTCTTTTGAACAAGAATTCCTGATCTCAGTCGCGTCTGATGCTCGCGTGTGGTTCTGGATATCTCAGATGCGCAGCCGCGATGGTTTGGTGGGGAACATGATCATGTTGCTATCCTCATACTTGCTCGGACGTACGTTCTTTCGACACGCTGGGCAGAAATTATGCCCGGGGCACATGGGCCTGAATATACCAAAAGCAGAAGCAAATTGGGATGTCAGCCAGTTGTAGTTTTCAGAGGATTCTAGCGCGGATATTATCGAATTGGGCGATATTGATGATGCTGCTGCTCGATGGTAGGCAGAGGTTCTTGCTATAGAGGGCGGTTGGAGTGCCACTCTCTTGAGTGACCAAAGGTCATATTCTTTATGAACCATGGTACACCAAGCTAGTCTTAAGCCAGCACTTCATCTTATCACGCCGCACGAAATCTCATTACTCTTCGGCTTGGTGCCCTGCAGCATCTTTCGCAACTGCCTTACACTATCTCTCTAGCTCTTACGAGTATCATAAACTATCTAAATAGAGCCAAGCTGCTTTAGCTGCAGCTTTAATTCTTGCTGTGGTCAGATACAACAACACAAAAGCTCTTGTATCAGTAACACTCTCAGATGCAGGAGAAATCTCACGTGTCGATGAGGCTCGACTGCTGTACCTGTGCCATGACCAACTTTACACAGGTCCTCCGCTCTTCCCATTCGCTCCCTTCGGTTCTACCGCATTAACGGACATCAACATTGGCGTTCGTCAACATCCAAAATGCAATACAAGTCATAGCCTCGAATACGAAACTTTGACCTAGCGATGCGGTGATGGTAAACGCACAACTGCCGTTTTTCTACACCTCCCCTTCCGTGTCAAGAATGGAAATTCAATGAACACTAATATCTCAGTCGATTACGATAATCTGGACCAGGAAGAAGATAATTCGGAGATGGTAGTTGCCGAGAGTGGTATTAGAGAACATGGCCAATTACAGGCGATACTCGTTCTACGGTGGAAAGCAACCTTCATGGATGGCTAATGATAACGATCACGACGAGAAGCAATTCACTTTGAACAAGTGGTGTCAAATGAAGCCTTGTATGCAGCTAATAAATCGGCTTCTATCGTTTGCTTATCAACGCACTGCGAGATTTACCTGCAAGGTCGTCGCCTATATTGCTTGTTTGAGAAGGTTACTATATCAGGTTTTTGATGTTTCACAATTTCTGAGACATTTTGGATGTCGGTCATAGTCGGTATCAATCCTCATATAGGAGCCTTGGCAAAGTCGTATACTTTCCTTTGTGCAGTGTGAATAATCTTTTAGCCTTCAGTTGAAGGTTTATGAGCCTTGGATCTGAATTGAATGTCTCAACCCAGATCGTACAACAGGAATGTGAATAGGAAAGTGGGAAAATGGCGATATTGTATAAATACTTTCTTTTGTGCAGCAGGTACCACAACGATAACAACAGGTGTTACAGAACATGGCGGGGTTAAATTCGACGCAAGATTTCCCTCTCTCGGCGACGAACAAGAACCAAATGGAGAATATCGAGGATGTTGATACTCCAGAGAGCGATCTTCAAGCTAACCTTGGTACGCGTGTTGAGCTCACGGAGGAAGATGTAAGGCCCCTTCCCGAGACAGCTCGATAGTTCTAGTTCTGAAGGTGACTTACATGAAAATAGAACAAGAACATCCGGCGGAAGACAGACAAACGGATCTTAACAATCCTCGTCTGGGTTTACTTCCTCCAAGTGCGTATCTCTCTATCCTTGTCAATCGAGCACTCTCTAACAGCTCCAAATTTAAGATCCTCGATAAATCCGTTCTGGGATACGCCTCAATCTTCGGCCTCCAGCAAGACACCGGTCTCAAAGGAAACCAGTACTCCCTAGTCGGTTCCATTGCACAAATCGCCCAGCTAGTATGGCAGCCGTTTTCTTCGATACTCATCGTCAAAGTCCCACATCGCATCCTCATGCCAGCACTCGTTCTCGGATGGGGAGTTGCGCAAACGGCAATGGCAGCGTGTCATAGTTATCGTGGTCTTCTCGCTACTCGATTCTTTCTCGGGCTCTTTGAAGCGGGGTGTTTACCCCTTTTTAGCGTAATTACTAATCAGTGGTAGTAAGTTTTGGAATCTTATTTATTGCCTATACGGGCATTTTTCTGGAATTTTTGCATCTTGTCTCTACTCTTGGGACAGGTTTTGAGACTCTCGATCCGTATCTATCCACCTTTAAAAGAGTAACGCTAACTTGCCGTTCTTCTCCAGTCGTCGAGCTGAACAGCCGATTCGAGTTGCTGCTTGGTATGGGACGAATGGACTGGCTACGATTGCCGCTTCCGCACTTTCCTTTGGATTAGGTCATATCCGGTCAGAGGTTCTTAAGTCTTGGCAGATGTAAGTCTAATGTTCCATGTGATTCAAGAACAGGAAACTGACGTACTTTTAGAATATTCCTCTTCGTAGGCCTTATCACTATAGTCAGCGCGCCCTTTGTGTATTTTTTCTTGGAAAATTCTATTACAACAGCCCGCTTCTTAACGCCACACGAAAGGGAACAGGGTGTCGAACGTCTTCGCGCAAACCAAACCGGAATCGGCTCCCGAGATTTCGAATGGAGTCAGGCTTGGGAAGTCCTCATTGAACCCAAGACCTACCTTTGGATCAGCATGTCACTGTTCTCAAACCTCGGCGCATCGGTAACTAATACCTTCGGGCCTCTGATCCTCAAAGGGCTAGGTTTCGACAAATACATCACGTCCCTGCTAAACATCCTTTCGGCGCCGTGCAATTCATCATCATCATGCTCGCCTGCTACGCAGCCCAGAAAGCCCGAGTCAAAGCCCCCATGCTCCTATTTCTCGTCATGCCAGTAATAGCAGGTCTGGCAATGCTGTACGCGATTCCTAGAAACAAGACCGCGAGCCTCCTAGCAGGCTATTACCTCCTCGCGTTCATGTTTGGCAACAACCCGTTGATCGTAAGCTGGATTGTGGGCAACACTGCAGGTACGACGAAGAAGTCCATCATCATGTCCGTTTACAACGGCGCGGCATCCGCGGGGAACATGGTCGGGCCCTTGCTTTTCAACGCGAGTGATGCGCCGGCGTATCGTCCCGGGCTGAGGGCCGTGCTTGCCATTTTCGCTGCGCTAGGAGTAGCTGTCTTGCTTCAGTGGGCGAATCTGATGTTCTTGAATCGGTTGCAGCGGAAGAAGAGGGTTGCGAATGGTAAAGTGGCGGATATGAGGGATCTTTCGATGGAGGATCGGTATATGGGGGTTGATGGGGAAGGGGTGGGAGAGCATGCGTTTGATCTGACGGATAGGAAGAATGATGAGTTTGTGTATATTTATTGAGGCTATTTGGGTGGTTGGGATTTTGGTTTTTACTTCCCAACAATTGATTACTTCAGGGTGCTGCTTTTCGAAAACCTCCCCCTTTTACCTCTACGGAAAAGATGTTACCTCGAACGTTAGTTGACCAGTAAGGATATAACTTGCATCCTGTAGTGAAGCTATTAGTTGGGCTAGCCAATTTAGTGAGTATATCAAAAACTTCACACGCGCCTGTTATTACACCCAGAAATAAACTTTCCATATAGCACCTTCATCCAGATTGGTATAGATAAATAGATACTAGAATTACTAAGTTGAATTTCCCCCTTTTAGCCTTCAAATAAAATACCAATTGGACGATTGCACAACATAGCATCTAAGGCAGACAGACGGCGCTCTCATTTCTTGAAGGTTTTAGAACATCAAGACTCCTGCCGGTACTAGTAGCCGGTTCGTCCTTCAAAGTAAGCGAAGGAGGAAACAACTACTGTATTATGTGGTGAATTAAGCGCATACAATAGCGATCTCGTATTACACAGTGAACAGGATTTTTAATCTCCTGTTATAGTTCAACATAGCCTCGTGATTTGAGATTACAAAAGACGATATAGGGAAGTGTGGTGGTATTTGCGGCCCCCGGCTAATATCCACCCCCTTTACGAGCTCGAACGGCAAGGCTGCATGGGGGAAGGATCTCGCTTCTGCACTTTACTGTACTGTACTGTAAGCTTGCCATCGATACGAAGTATTACTACCACCGCAATCACCACCACATTTATGCCGCTTCCTTCCTTCGTGCCACACGTTACCTTTGGCTGGCGCCAAGACGAATTGAAGATACCCTCATCTAATGATCAACGATGTACAATGTAGTATCTGTTTCATGTGTGCAAGCCACATTTATTCGGCGGCAACGCGCAATCAGCCAATCTCATGAACATCAAAGTTACGAGATATGTGGGCGGTCTGCTTACTCCGCATCATCTTAACTTGGTTTCAGCAGGCGGCTCTCAGCCTTGTTTTCATCTCACAAATCTTCGCTGCAGTTCCTTACCTCCGCACAATCTCATTGTTCCATTTTTTGTTTATTACGGCTTCTGTTGAGAATTCTTTCATTTCTGTCTTCTGAAAGGGTTTAATTGAAGATATTGTTTTCTGTAATGCCGCCGTTAGTGTAAATGTACGAGGCGTCAACGACAGGGGTATAGTCTTCTGTGTGGAATAAATTTTGAGTTGAGCCTCCATTGAGGTACCCCCAAGGCTACCAAATAGCCCTAAGAATATCGTACTTTGAGTAGGCCTCAGGATGGGGCTTAGGAAATGTTCCGGACGCAACGTTGAAAATCCCTTGGTGGTCCCTTCATTTCTTCTGCTCCTGCTATACTATTCTGATGCTTATGCTACCTTCGATTTTCATCGTTCGACGTATTCCGGACTACTGGAAATCATCCTATTCCTTCTACTGATGTTACTTTGATCTTACTGATCCTCTATATGAGATCCCATAATGTCCACGGTAGGTGATCAGTTCATCTCATCAAAGTATATAGATAGCTTCATTATCCAGCGATTCCAAATATTTCTCGTCATCAAGAGCTCCAACAGCAAACAACAACACTCCTTACACTCCTTACAAGTTCATTTTTTCAAGACGCAATATTTCCAGAGCTTACATTCATTCATTTCTCAACTACAACACTTCAAACACTTTACGGTCTCTCACCTACCACTGCAGCAATGCCTTCATTCTCAGCTCCTTTCCTTATCATTCTTGCCTTGGCAACTCAGTCTTTTGCCGCTCCCGCTGCTATCCCGAACTCATACAACGAGGCATCAAACTTGGTAGACAACTACATCGCCAAACGGTTTGACGATGGTCAGTACCATTGGACTGAAAGCTCTACAGCGGCCACCTCTACCTTGAGCCCACCCCTCTACACTTATGGAGGACCCCTCAACTCAACCTCTATCCTTCCAACTGGCTCGGTCGTTCCAAAGTTGTCTGATACTGGTAAAGCCACCCGTGTCACTATCACTGCCACTGCCACTGCCCCCAGTGTCACTAGCACTCGTCTCTCCCAGCCTATTTCCTCTGCGACTTCGTCCTCCCCGACTTCCTCGTCTGCCGCTGGAGTATCCACTACTGGTACTGTTACCGAAAAGGACTTCTCAGGAGATGGAGGCAATGGCTGGCCTACTATCGACCAATGGTTGAGTTTCGATGACCTCTGGGCCAGAAACGTCAAGGAGATGGGCTCTTGCTATGCTGCACCGGGAACGGTTGCCCAAGCTCCCACTACCGACGACGAGAAGACAGACATCCTGGCTTCCATCAAAGATGTAGCCCAAGAAACCGGTGTCGATGACCGATACATCTTAGCAACAATCTTACAGGAGTCTTCCGGATGCGTGAGAGCCGGTACGACTCTCTCGCCTGGTGCCGAAATCTCGAACCCCGGTCTCATGCAAGACCATAACGGAACCCACACTTGCCATGACAAGCCCGCTCCTTGTCCCAAAGACACCATTACGGGAATGTTAATGGATGGAACCAATGGCACTCTTGGCTTGCCGGGTGGCGGCGACGGCTTGAAGCAAACTTTGGCCCAGGCTGTGACTTTGGGTGCCAAAGACGGCTCAGCTCAAGCAGCTTATTGGTCATCCAGAATCTATAACTCTGGAAGTTATGATGGAAAGAAGGCGCTGGAGGATCCAAGTCTTGGTGCCACTGCGGACTACTGTGACAAAATTGCCAACCGTCTGATCGGATGGGTCGGCTAAACATAATTTGAGATATCCAGACGAGCTTTATACCCTTTTTTTTTAAATTTATTCTTGAAATTTAGGTTTGCTTTGAAGCATGGGATTGGGCGGTTTTGTTTTGGTGTTATTTTTGATGTATACTAGAGTATTCGTACCAGAGTTGAGATTTGACTTATGCATCTATGGAGTTAGGGCATGTAAATAACATAGACTTTTGAGTACTCATTGTTCACAATCCTGGTCATACTATTGTCGTGATCTGAATTGGGATTTCTAATCCAGAGAATAATCTTGAGATGAGGTATTGTATAGTATAAAATTTCCGTTTATTTGGAAATGCTTCGTAAAACAATAGTTGTTTTCTAGATATTCTATAATTATGAGCAAATATGAACTTGAAGTGAAGACTTAATATGTGTAGAAAACTCGCTTCAAATTTCCTTCTAGGGCTAACTCACATTCTATGGTTTTCGATCGACATTCAATCACATGATGCTCCTCATTAGTTTCCACTACCAGCACTACATTCCAAGTTCTTCAAGATCCATTGTCGCCCAATAATCATCCCTCCTTTTCTGCATCTAAGCAAGCGCTACTACTTTGAAGTCATCCGACCGCCACTGATCAGTCTGCCATCCATACTCAATATAAATCGCCTTCATACTCTAGCCAATGGTGTCAGTATGTTTCTAGAAAATATGAGTTGGGGATTTATAAAGAAACTAGCACACAGCTCCATTCTCCTCTCTTTCACCCCAACCTGTTGTATCGTAATCGCCACTTTGTAGAACTCTCATCAATTCTAGGCCCCGGAACTTCTCCTTCCATTCTTCGAAGAACTCTGTTATCGGCAGAGTACGGTAGGCACGCCACGCATCAGGGGAATCTTGACTTGGTTCTGCACGCTCAGGATGTTCTTGCTGTATCCAATCCGTGATCGTGCCTAACAATTCTTGTTAATCCCTCGATACTACAATGAACAATTGCCCTAAGAGAGGGGAAATAGAACAGGGCCAACCTTTCTCTGTGTTTAGAAGTAACCAGCTATCATCTCTACCTCCGTCGGTGAGAATCGCCACATGTTCAGGAATATCCCCAGCTCCATAACGTGAAGTCGTCTCAATCCCTCCTAGCCTCTCGAAAACCGGTTTGAGGGACTGACCATACCACCAGGTTGCTGAAGTAGAGAATGATATCTCGATGTGGTCTTTGGGGTAGGGGGATGCTTGTACAGGTCGATTACACTGTCATTTTTCTTCGGGGGTGCTAAAATCTGAGGCGTGATATCAGGCCAGCCGCCGACGGATGGATACTCGATCACTACGGGTGAAGAAGTAGGGAGGGCGGTGAAAATCTCGTAGAATGAGGCAACAGCAGCGACGGCTGTATTGTGGTCGTATTTAGACAGCCATTGGAAGTAATCTGAGTGCCTGCCGCGTGGTGGGAAAGCTGGGGGTTGGTAGAGAGTTCAAGAAACAAGTGTGTGTACATGTGACAGTGGTCCAACGAGTGACTTGGCTTTTTCATTGACAGCTAAAGTCGCTTATATATCTTTATGCAGACTCACGTGCCAATGAACTGCAGTTTATTCAATTTCTGCTTTTGGAGTATTATGGTGTCGACACTGCTTGGCTCATTTCTCGATACACTATCAACTTCTACTGCTGTTTTGCTCGGCGAAGTAATTCCACAAGTATCGCTTCATCCCGGAGGTAATTACAGATGAAATTTACAATATAATATCCCTTGAAGTGTTTTCCTTAGCCCCAGTCGTCAATTCCCAGCAAAGAAAGACATTGGCTCGCTAGACGGCCAGAAAGCATGCGGTATTGATATTGTAGCTTGACTAGTTTCCCGAAAATTTTATATCCGTGGCCATGAAAACCACGGAAAGGAGTTCAGATTCTTTGCTGACACTACTGGTGTGCATAAGTTGAGCCGGCAGGAATATTTTCCCACGTAGCGTCGACTTTGCCCTCATGACCACATCTTTTCTGTCCACTGATCCCGTTTCACCATAAGAAATGATTTTCACACCCATTGATGAAAACAACAATGTACCCTTCTTTCATATTCTGAGACCAGATCCAAAAACGATGCAGAAGCTGAGACGAAAACTGTTGTAACTCCCGCCGAAACAAGAAAGCCCCATGGGGTATCCTTTCTCTATAACAGAGTGGATACCTTTTTAGAGCACTCAAAAAGTGACTAACTACTTTGATCTGATTATAAGTTCTTGGCAAACATTCTTTTACTTTGTCATGGTAGAATTTAGCGATGATTTGATTGTGTTTACTTTCGCCCTATGACACACAATGGTAGTATCAAGAATGACTTCTCACTCAGGGTGAGATGAATCTTCAGATGTTCATATAGTTATCATTTGCTATTCGTATGCCTCAAGATAGAGTTTGTATGACGCTTTGCTATCCTTGAATCAACATTGTTTGAGACGAATTTATGTTGCCATGCAAATTTCGTTAGCCTTCATCATTTGTTTGCAGCTTATAGTGTGGATGAATACTAATCTTTAGTTCAAAGTGACTGTAATGACTTTGTTTACGCAACCGTTGCCCCGTATCTTGTATGCTGGCTCACAATAGTGCTATATAAGGCATCCAGCCTTCTCCTACTCTATCGTTGGAACATAATCATTCAAATCTCGTTAGATATTCACGAAAGAAAGTACTAAACTAGCATACGAGAAATTGTACTCTTATTACGCTGAAAATATTCCAAATGGCGTCCAAAATTCTCAGCCTCGCGTGCGCTTTCTTGGGTCTCTTCGCTTTAACAAGAGCATACGATGTCTTCCTCGTAGATTGTTTCTACCAATGCAGCAACTACAGCGCAATGGCACTATATAGTTCACCAGTTGAGGCTCGCAATGTCACATCTCCCGACGCGTTATCATTTGTCAATGTACCATCCATCGATTGGGAAAATGGTGACCATGATGCTGTATTCCGCGGCGGGGATTTGTTTAGATCCACGTTCCCTAAGAATGGTTCTATACCACAAGTGTATTGGGTCAATTCTCCAGATAATCAGTATGTAGTTCCTCATTTGGGTTTAATGATATATGCTGACTGGCTGGGATGACAGGCCGCCATGGTTTTACGATTGTTATGCAGAGTCTAACACGAGCACGATTTTGTTTACGGATCAAAGCGGTGCACAATGCTTTAAGAAGTACATCTGTAACGCCATGAATCCGCCATATGCAAAGGTTCTAAACGGGACACTGTAGACTTTTGGGTCTGTAGAACATGTGTAGGATAGTCTAGTGATGCATGACTTATTCCAACTTCGTCTTGATATTTAATGAGAAGCCGCCTATCACTGTGCGTCTCAATGCAAGATAGTATCCAAAGGCCCGTACTGAATAAACAGTCCAAGGTGCGGTGAAATATATGCCAGTTCTATTTATGAGAGCTTAAAGGTATCGAAGTAGAGCCCCGCTTGGATGCCTCAAATTTCGCCTATTTCAAAGGGGAAAGGGGGAGGCAGTGAAGATAAAAAGCGGCGTTAGATGTCCGACACGTCAATGTAGAAGTTCGCTACAAGGAGTGCCGCTTTCTGATCCTAACCGAGAGGAGGGGTACATGCAGTACAGATAGACGTCAAATTAAGAATATAGACTAAGCATGTACACCTGTCAATTCATGTCATTTGGCCGTAGCCTTGAATAACACAAGTCGTGACAAATACAAAAGTTACAAAATTATGTTCTTTTCTTCAGTCCGGAACCCTTATGTTTATCAAAGGCTAAAATATTTCCGAAATTTCTACACAGCATGGGTGCTCTCTTCAATAAGCAATTACTCCATGCATGCGACTTTATTGGTCACAATACGTCGAAATTTGCTATGTGGCCAATCACGGTTGCCGGAAATTTCCACCGAGGTGATGAGTGTCCCGTAAGCACGGGGAAGCCGCAACCTCATTAGAATCCTTCATCCTTCGTACATATTTATATAGAAGAACATCAACTCTTAATTCCCCACTCGCATTATTTACCTCAAAGAAGTCCAAAATAAGACATCCAAAAATACACCGATCGTCGCAAATCTACTCACAATGGCACTCTTAGCCTCGCTCGCCGTTGGCTTCGTAGCCTTTATCCACGTCTACATTCTTGTCCTCGAAATGTTTCTCTGGGCCACCCCTCGCGGCCTCAAAGCCTTTGGCCTTTCAAAAGATTTAGCCATCAAAACGAAAGCTCTTGCCGCGAATCAGGGCCTCTACAACGGCTTCCTGTCCGTCGGACTCGTGTGGGGCTTACAGCATCCGGTTCCAGAATTTGGGAAACAGATCCAGTTATTCTTCTTGGCTTTTGTTGCAACCGCGGGGATATTTGGAGCTGCTACGGCGAAGGCTAAGATTCTTTTCGTGCAGACTGTTCCGGCTACTCTCGCGATTGGAGTGGTCTTGTTTGCATAGTTATTGGTGATCAGTTGGGAGATCGACGAAAGGTGTGGTCTTGGCCCATGGGCTATGACATGTGACACTTGCGAGGAGATTTTGCATATGATTGCCAATGATAGAGATAGGGGGTTTCATCTCTTAGGAAAAGAGATGGTTGATAGAAGCAAATTCTGGTCACGTGGATAAAGTGAAGAAGAGAACTTCATCCGCGTTTAGCTCCGGGAGGTATAGAGCGGATCTCCTAAGTGCAGAATATATCATAATACAAGTACTCATCGAGATTTTGAAGGGAGACAAGGGTACTGAAGTTCAAGCATTCGTTTCATATATCTCATTCTGTCCTTGTGATGGCCCACAGCCAAACGCCAGATCGGATAAACAGGAAAAGCAGGAAGTCTCGAACCGGAATGTATATGTTTTAGGGTAAGTACACCAGGTTTAACTTCCCGAATAGTCTCTTTTGTTATTTTTTCATTGCTAAACAGCCTTAATCATAAGTAATCCAGCTAGCTAACTTGACCAGTATAGAAAATTTCTCTGGCTCCAAATTCCCTACTGAATTTCAATTTTCAAATCACAGCGACAGCAAAGAAGCGCACACCAGAACTAGACGCGCCTCTCAGGCCTAAGAATCATCAAGATCAGCGTTAAGCACAACGCCAGATGAAGTCCCGTAAACCCTATTCTGAAATACCTCCGCACAATGTCTAATATGCCCCTCATTGTCAAACCTTGCTTCCACAATTATACCAGTTGTCTGGGCACGGAACTGCTTAATCCAATACATATAGCAGTGTACCACATGCCACTCCCAACTAACGTGAAAACGTGCAGCGGGATCATCAGCCAAAGCCATAACTTCGGGCATGCTTAGCTCTTGCGTGTGGTTTCTATCTGCGTAGTATATCCAAGTGCCATTTGGACCGTCTCCGAGGGTCTCAAACTCAGCTGTGAGCTCGGCATCTTGACAGTAAGGCTGCACCCAAGCGGGAGATAAAGAGTCGTATACGCAGCCAATTTCGATTGCTTCGGCGGTAGAGCTACCACAGGCACATGAGCGACGTGGTTCATGGGAAATTGATTCGGTTTTCGAGTCTTGAGGCTCTGGATGCTGGTGGTGAGAGTGTTCAGGTTCGTGGTGGACGGTATTAAAGTGCTTTTGAATGATTTGGGTGATGATATTGAATAACCCCCAGAAAGCAAGTGCGCAAATCAGAATGTTCCTCGCTCTCCTAAGATACCGCCTACTCTTTCCATTTCTCTTGGGTTCTTCAAACTGTCCGAAACCTTGCTCGCTGTCATCTGTATCTTCGGCGGGCAATAGCTTTTCGACTGAATCACTATCGTAATTGCTGTCAGAAATTAAAATCAGGTATGCTCACAAGCCACGGTTGATGTAGTTATACCTCATATACATATTCTCCATACTCGTATCTTGTCTCCGAATATTTGAAGGCTTTTAGGAGGAAGCCTTTCAAGACTGGACAACGAATAGTTACTTTGGAGTATTAGACGTTTGAAGCATCAAGCAAACGTGCAGGATGGAAGCGGGGGACAGGTTCAAGAGGACGTTTCAGCTGGGGGACCTCCACTTACCCCCCTTCAGGAGCCCAACCGCGGAGTTCTTCTCATCTGTTTGAAAGTACCATGGTACGCAATGATCACAACACAACGAGCTATGCAGCCCTCTCCATACTGTATCTGTCGTGCACCGGAGACTTTGCCTGTTCTATGAAGGCGTCGTTAAATGTGTCATCTTGCAGACTTGCACCCTAGTAGGTGTTGGGAGCTGGCTCGACGAAGCTATCCGCTTGACTAAGTCAGTCCAGTGCATGTAATTAGCGAGGTATTGCATTTCGTGGCCAGAACTTGGAGTAGTACGAGACTCGGTCCGAGAGGAACATGCGTCCATGTGACTTAACAACCGGCCAATCGTCTCAGGTTGAGGAGTAAATGTGACATGGAGCGCTACAATTCTTCACCGCGAAGATGCACCTTCGGTTACAATTACTACTAATAAACAGTCAGTAGGTTCTGAGAGACTATTCAACGTCGATTTAACAGCATCCGGCATAGTCGCAAGCCCGATACCCCGCATACATATAAGACACAGTAGCCAAGATCTGGGGATGTAGCACCACGTTACGCAGCATCCGCCATGCCATGTAACATTTGTTAGTTTGTGTAAGCTCGATTGAGTTTATGAGACCAAGAAGTATCATACTCGCCGCTGTTCAACGCTCAATGGCTTATCGTTACCCGAACACATACAGAAAAGCGTTATAGCCCAATGCTCACATTGAGACGTTTGGATGCTCTGAAGCCGCGTTAGAAGCAATCCTTGCATCTTTCAAGATATCGAAAAGGAGACACATGCATAATCATGCCGCCCTAAGGTACCGGTCCAGCCCACCCATAGCCAGGGTTACGAGTTTTATGGATCACCTCGGCTAGACAGGGGTGCTGAAAGAGGCAATTCAAGACAACATGCAATCACAAAGTAACTAGTGAGCTGCGTGTCAACCCACTCGATGCAACAAAAGGTTACAGCTTTATTTCTCAGTGAAGCCATAGTCCACAGGACTGACAGTAATTTCGATTTCGCGAGTCGGTTGGTTGTATCCAAGAGGATACTTGCAAGCAGAGGACGAACAACGACCGGAAGACACAGTAGCCATGTGAGAAAATGATTCAGCCCATCATTGCTCATTTGGAGCGAACGAGACTCCAGAAGACGACAACGACATACTACAACAGATCAAAGCTCGGTCCCAAGGGCACTATTATTCACATATGCATGACAAAATAGTTTGGAAGGTCTTGTTGCCAATGTGTTGAAGCATTGCACTTTTGATGTTGAAACTACCAAGCTGCGATCATGTGCCAGTCACCTTTCAGATCAATCATACCATCATAAAACCAAGGAAAGACTGTCCATCCATCATACCAGCACATCAAGGAATGATACAAAAAGTGGTCCCCTTCGATCATCTGACCCCGGAGGTGACGCAGCACCACAAGTACTTCTGAAGGGAGGTCCTATCCCTCGAGCAATGATCTATGACGGGAGCATCTCTTTGATGTTACATCAATTATTGCGCTCGCTTTTGGATTCTACGGGCCTAGCATTGGTAGCAGCTTCGTCTCGTCGCTCGGCTGTAGTAAACAAAGCACGAAGTTAGTTTCTTCTCCAAACGTTCTCTGGGAGAGACAAGATGTTTTAAGAGGGTGCAGAGAAACTCGAAGATAAATTTTATATCTTACCCCCTGGCTTAGCATTAGTAGCTGCCTCTTTGTCACGTCGCTCACTTGCTGACTACTCAAGGGATTGAATTAGTATGGAATTTCCCGAATTTCTCGAGAAGAGAGTCGGAAAGTTTCAGGCATTTCAAGAGCCCGAATATCATAGGTCAAATATAACGTACGTTCTCGTTGACAGGCACAGCGTTCTACAGGCATTTAGTATGATTCATTCTGGGCATAACTTGGGCCGACAGGATGGAATTGGGAAGCCATAACCGCCACGCGGTCAACAACGCAGAACAAAGAAAGGAGTGCATACCGCGGCAGCGCCTTCAGAAAATGGGCTAGCGTTCAATACTCCACTCTCACTACGCTTGTCATCGGCGTATGAGCGAGCGGCGATAGCATTGTTTGGGATGGGTGCTGGTGCCGAGTTGGCGATGCCGAAGAGGATAGTGGCCAAGGCGATGCTGGTGTTAAAACGCATTTTGGTGTAGAGTAAAGTAGATGGTGGATTTGGTTAGATTGGATTGAAGAGCTTTGATATTTGATATCTTTGACTTTGATACTTGACGGATGATGGTGGTGAGAAACTCGGAACATGAGTATCATCAACAGCTGTTATATAGTCTTCATTCAGTTGAAGCGGAGTGATTTCTTCTCGGGCGTGTTTTCGGCTTTGCGGTGAGTTCGAGGCTTGCATGATCTGATCTGTTCTTTGGCTTTCTCCATCACGAACATTGATTAATTCCGAAGCACTGCATGATGCATTTATTAGTCAAGTCTAGCCAGTCCGTTCTATCATCTCAGAGCTCATCGGTGAAGGCATTCTTGACATATCGTATTTAGCTTCAACAGGTTTTATGCATCGAAACGCATGTAGATTTCACAGAGCACTAGGAGAATAAGCACTAAAGGTTAGGTAGCACAAAGAGGGGAAAGGTGATCAAGAATTTGGTGCTGCTGCTTTACTGCAAGATGCGTAAGTATGTTCTGTAAGCCTTTCTTTTGAAAGATGGTAGAAAAGTTTCATAGGATGGTTACATCTCACCATCGTTGGTATATCGCATGACCAATTCATCTGCAATATGCAAGCCTTCGGATGGGATGATGAGACTCACCCCATTTTATGTTCGTGCCCTACAGACTAGGATGGTCTGTGGTCAGTATGGGCGTTGGGCGTTGGGTAGTATAGGACTTATGAAGGTGAGCGGTACCAAGTTCCGCTTCCCTTATCTATTCAACTTCCACGAAGTAGCTTCAAGACTTCCTCTAAACACATCACAAGGCTAGGAAACATTTCGCAATTTCAAGGAGATCAACGGCAATGAATGGGTGAGTCTATGTCATGAGAATTATTCAGGATAGAGAGTAAAATAAGCAACAGAATCAAATGGTTCAACCGGGCTGCGAATCCAAAACGGGAAGAAGCCCATGAAAGCGACAAGGCCACCTACAGTCTTCTCCGGGAATCGAGCGACGGTAGCCAAAGTTCAGACAGCGAAATTGGCATATCACCTATTCCAAAGACGAAAAGCAATGTCCACCACTATTCGCTCCTGATTTGCAAAGCTATACTTATCGTCTTTGCATTCTTGGGCATCTACTCTGTTGCAAGATCTACTCTGTCCAGGTCTCACGCACACAAGCCCGTCACATGTTCTTGCGGAGGAACTACAGTGGCAGAAGCGCTATCCAGAGGCTGCGTCTTCACTCCGTTAGCACTTGGGTGGCTGCCTCCGCAATGCCTCGATATGGAGCTCTCGGATGAGTTCGACAAGATGGGCCCGCTTCCTGGGGGAGAGTGGCCGTATTGGGGGGATCTTAATGGCACGACGCGTATCACTAGGGAGGAGATGGGCTTACTGGCGGATGTTGGAGGGCTTTTTTACACTACTCAGGAGTGGCATATTATGCATTGCATGTAAGTTGCTTCTTCCTATTAGCATATCATCCTCAGTGAGCGTGGAAGTTCAGTTCTTTGTCTCAGAAACACTCCCTTAGATGTCCTCCATGGCGGAAGATACTGACTCCAGAATCAGGTACACGTGGCGTAAACATTATCGCTCCCAGTTCACTGGGGTTACTGTCGAGAATAGGTCTAACGGAATAGACCATATCCATCACTGTGATGGGATTATGCTGGACCGAACGCCGTTGCAAAAGATCTGGACCATTGCTGGGGTGGAACTCAATGCTGACTTGAGCTAAGCAAGGTCTGTTCAGGGTGCCAGTATCGACTTTTACTATAGAAGAAATGATTGAAGATAGAGGGTGTGAAGTCTAGGCTTGGTGGGCGATGTGGTGATATGAATATGTGTTTTGATATCTCATCCCTGAGGACTTCCACATCATACAAGCATTCCATTTCGCAGATGAACAGTGTGGATTAATGACGACAGCAGTGAATGTTTATTAATCCATGGATCTGTCGCAGTTACAGTAGCTAGTAGCAAAATTTAATGACTACATGACTTATACCACAAATAAGCAAAGAAACAGATTTGTAACAAGAACACGGCTGGCGTAAGATCACGTTTGAAAGCTTTTCATATGATAGGTTCTTAGCCTAAGATGGATATACTAGGTAGGTAGGCAGTATCATACTGCCAATCAATATAACAATGTCATGTCTAAGCGAGAATTCAATGTGAATGCCGGGTTGCTTGCGATCCGCCATAAACAATCCAACTTCAAGATAAGAAACAGACCTGACTTCCTCAATCCCCTCCACTTTCAATTACAACAACATCTTCAATCAACTCATCAACGCAAACATGACACGCCTACAGGACCTCCTCAAGCAGCTCCCGCGTTTGCAGATCAAATTCCCACAAGCCCTCACCGAATTCACTCTCTTCCCGAAGCTACCTGTCGAACTCAGGAGAACAATTTGGGGTATCGCTGCAATGGAACCCAGGTACATCAAGGTCTTCATTTTGGAAGCAAGACGGCGCGACTCGCGCATTGATGGCCAAGTACGATCAGACCCTGATTTCATCATGCTCGATGCTGATTGTTGGAATCTAGTCAATAGCGCCTGCTATCATGAACACGAGCCAAGAGGCGAGATCTGAAGGCAAGAGTTTCTACACGCTTGTCAACGAAAGGTCTCCACAGAGAGGGCCGGACATATTCATATCTTACTACGAAGGAATCGCCACGGTCGTGCCAAGCATGACTTATCTTCGTGTTAAGCCGAGTTACAGCAACAACATATGGATCAACTTTTCCATAGACCAGTTCCTGCTCTCATATATGAGCATCCGAATTCAACGCCACTTGTCATGGGGCGGTTACAACCTTCAAGAAAACGATCTTCGTAAGATGAAGGTCCTCGTAATAGCCGAGGACCCTGAAGAGATTCCAGATGACAGCACGTCTGCTCAATTGATGATCGAGAAACTCCTCTCAATGCCCAACCTCCAGGAATGTGTATTGGTTATGAAAGATTGGTTCTTTTATGAAACCTTCGAGGATCACTTTGAACTTCAGAAAGCGGGTGAGGATATCGCCCAGAGCAACGCCATTTTCAAGAAGCGAAAGGGGCTTTCTTATCACTTCAAAGTCAAATGGCAGACAAAGTTCTCTCCTCTCCTTATCCACAACCTTTTTTCGCATGAAACTCAGCGCAAGGGAATTGCAATGGGCTAAGAGCCGCGAAAACAAGTATTTTGTGTCGAGAGGCGGATTTTCCCGCAATTCAGTTAAGTATGAAGTTTTATAGTATATATGATAAACTAGATAAGATAGCTGTGGTTGTGCAGACTTTTTCTATACCCGTCTACCCCTTTGCCGCCAGAACTACTGCTTTTTCCACCCTCAGTCACTGACTTTATACTTAGAACCACGAAACATCTCTTCCCCTCGGAGGCGTGCGACAGCCATCTGTTTGAGTCCTCAGGCATACTTGCAACAGATCTTTTTTCGCCAGCATAGCCCCAGAATCACTGCATGATAAAAATACCCTGAGACCCAGGGGAGGCTGTGCCTTGCAATACCAGAACACGTTACTACAACCTTCACCCCCCCACCCCATACGCGAGACAGAGAACAAAGTAATAGATAGGTAGAATTGGTTGCCAATGCGAACAGAGCGCAATTGTCCTGACCTTGAAGACCGATAGAATGGACTCACAAATGAATGAGTTGGTAGATACCTTCAACAACTTAGTCGAATGGTCATTGGTCGGCCACCTGGAGAGAGATAGTAGTACGGGTACTTTGCGCGGAATAGTCACATTGATCCCCCACAGCGATATTGAGTATGGAAACAACAAGCAAATGAACACTTTACTCTGGCTTTTCACTAATTCTTGTTTTTGACGTTCTTCATCCATTATTCGCCCCCTCACTTCGGTACCGCAACATCGCTTAAGCCCCTGAATGTGGCAGGCGCTACCCAGGCCAGGCCAGGCACTACCTACCGAGTAACACCTAGTCAGTTGTTCCTTCTTTGCAGGGCAGGTTGTTGGAAGAAATATCCGAAACAGCAAACAATCCATTCCTCTCACCTCTCAAGCGCAAGAAGCAGTTTCAAGCAGTCTCGAAGAGTAGTATTTTCCTTCAAAAATCTATGTGCTCAAATTCCTACTCCATAAGAGGAATTCTGTCTTAGCGAAGCCTTCCTTCGCACGTGCGTGAATACGCAAAGCAATGTTTTATACGAGTATCCAATTAAAACTGTCTCGATGCGAGCCCCCACTGCTGACGCAAACAAACCTCCGAGCCTAGAACGCAGCTCGGTTAGGAGCCGGTGGTTGCATCGCCGCGCCGCATCTTTGAAAGAAAGAAACGAAGAAAGGCTGACTACGACACCCACATATTGCTCATCCTTTCCTTCAAGGAGGCTGAAAAGTAGGTAGTATTCGTACTTGGAAGTATATCTTTCTCGACTTCGGATCGGGATGATCTTCTGGGGGTTGGAATAACTCGGAATGTATTTAGATTCCAAGAAGCCGACAATAGATGACCAAACGTACAGAAATTGATGATTAGGTAAGCTTCTACGGCCCGGAATTGCGAAAGTTGGGGACGGGATGATAATGAGCAGGGTCCTAAAACAGCCTAGTCTCGGATGAAACAGAGGCCGGTTCTTCATCTCGTCAAATCACATCGTCATACAGTCCTCGAGTCGTCCCGCTGCGGGTCGTCGTATGACGATACGATACCAGTGGTAAGAAGATGCGGCAGGCATGCTGCAGGCAAAATGAAGAATTGAACGATGCTCACGCCGCACAGTATGTAAGTCGTTTGCTGTGCCTGCCTGCTGTTGAATCTGTTCTCATAACCGCGCCTCTCCTCTTTTCTTACAAAGTCTTACAAAGAAAAAGTAAAATCATCTACAGTACCGCATTCTTTAGTTCCAGTTGGAAGTCCAAACACCAAAAGAGATCTCTCTCTGAGTGAGAGCAAAAAGGACCCCTGCTGTTGACCTGCTGTATCTGCTGTATCTGCTGTTTATATCCTCTCTTCCACTTCCTCAAAGACTGCGACAGTCTATAATCAACCGCAAAGATGGCGTCCCTGATCCACGAGTTGGTTGCGCGAAGAACCAAAGACCAATTCGCAGCCTGCACCCTCGACACATGTCCGATCAGTAGTTCCTACTACTTCTACCGCGTCTCGCTCGCCGCCAACGCGACCTTCCTGGCGCTCTTCGCCATCTCCTTTATCGGTTTCGCCGTCACGTTTGCGCTCACCAGGCGCGCACTGGCCTTCACAGTCGCTATGTTGATTGGAGTGATATTGGAAGTCATAGGCTACGTGGGACGCATAGAAAGCAACAAGAACCAGTGGCAGGAGAATGGTTTCCTGATGCAGATCGTGTGCTTGACTATCGCGCCTGCGTTCTTGGCAGGTGGCATATACTTGTGCTTGAGAAGAATCGTCTATGCGTTTGGGCCTGAGAACTCGAGGATTAGCCCGGAAGCATACACCCGGATCGTAAGCGCATTTACTTTTACGCTTGTTCCCTCTCACTCTCTAGACGAGAATTAATGGCTAATGTGGAACCATAGTTTATTCCATGCGATCTTGTTTCCCTGCTACTGCAAGCTGCTGGTGGCGGTCTCGCCTCCGCCGAATCGCACTCAAACAAATCCCCTGACACGGGCGATAATATAATGGTAGCTGGTCTTGCCTTCCAAGTCTTGACCCTCCTTATATTCATGGTCCTCTGTGTCGACTTTGCCATCCGCACTCGGCGCCGCTACAAGTCCATGGGAGAATCCGCCTTTGACCAAAACCCTCTCTACGTTTCATTGCGAGGCAGCTGGCGATTCAAGGGATTCATTGCTGCACTCACGCTCGCTACCATTTGTATATTCTGGCGAAGTGTGTACAGAGTCGCGGAATTGGGTGAAGGGTGGACGGGCAACTTGATCCGACGCCAGTGGTTATTCGTTGGATTTGAGGGCGTCATGGTTATTGTAGCCTGCTTTGCGTTGAACCTATTCAACCCTGCGTTTTCTTTCAAGGAGGCGATGAATGGGCTTGGCGGGCTCGGAAGTAAGAAGAGAATAGCGAAGCAGGAGAACCAGGAGAAGGCGGTTAGTGGGAGTAATAGCGATGTTGAAGCTGTACCGCAGGCTAAGACGGTTGGTATTTAGGTATTGGGTTTTTGGGAGGAGTTTTTAAATAGGAGACTAAATAACTTTTAAAGTACGGCTAGATAGATATATAAATAATACACCATTGAATTGACGTGACTGTTCAAGCGAGCACAAGTATTGTCTTATTCACATCTATTCTCATTGGTGTTCTTCATATCTTTCGTAGTAGTCATCAAAAGATAATCCTCTGGATGCAGGGCGGTGGTTGGGAAGGGGAGGCGCATCGACTTGATAGTAAAATCGATTACTCCTCTCCTCAACAATCATCATATCTTGTTACAATATAAGATAGAGCTTGACCAGAGCCATAAAATACGCAATACGGTATTGTATTGGTGTGTTAATTCTCTACGCTGGGAGGATGTATGATACCGCCTTGCCGCTATCCAGAATGAAGCAATCTACACATAGAAGAATTGCCAGTGGTCGTAAGTCCTCAGAACACCCCCTTCCCCCCACCTCTTCATACCACACCCCTGGGGTGGTAGGTTTAAAAATACGATTGACTATTGTCGGGATATGAATAGTCATGATTACATGACCATCAAGGACTAAGCGAACGAGGCATAACCTGGTGAACCTCTTCGCAGCAGATCCATCATCCATCATCTAAGGATCTGCATCATACCAAATACAAGTCAAGACTATAGCAACCAATATGCAGTAGAAGCGATCATTCCTGTGTTACCAATATATCCTTTGCCACGTCAAATCAAACGTCATTCACAAGGTAATTTACATGGAATAACTGCAAACCTTGAAACCCTACCTCCTCCACTTTGTTCAAGCGCTCGCTCCTTCTGCAGAAATCACACACTGCATGCGCTCTTCTTCACAAACCAGCTTGCTATTATTTGCTTGAAAGGCTTCTTTCATTTTAACTTGATTTTGATGTGTGTCTATTTCACAAACCAGCTTGCTTGAAATGAAGGATTTTCTTGAGTCTTGAGTTAGTCACAATGATACCGTATGAAGCCACTTATTCATTGGGAGGATTGAAAGAAAGCATGGAAGATTCTACTTCTCTCAAACTAGTGCGAGACGAGACGTCAAATTTAAGCAAGCAATCGTGACCTGCTTGCGTATAGCTTCATGCATACTGTAGCAATCTTGCATGCAAACATGTCTACGAGTTTCCAGAAAGAGAAAGGCAAATGTCCTACTCAGCCATAGTTTCCTATATCAGAGCTGTCGGACACCTCCTGCAACATCATCTTTTCCCAGGAGCATCTGCTGAGCAAGAATCTCCCTGCATTCGTTGACCTGACTCTTTTGAACCTGAACATCCATCAAGCGATACGTTCATCCTTTTCACACCCCTTCGAGACACTGATGAAGATGTCGGCCAACAACAAAAGCGAATCAAGCAGCAATGCAAAGTCAGCTCAGAATCCCCCGTCAAATGCTGCCACCGTCGTAGTCCCTAAAAGCGAAGCGGTTTCCAATTTCAAGCCCACAGTCATCGGCATCTACGGCATCCAGGGTAGCGGAAAGTCCTATTTACTAAACGAGCTGAAGCGCGAGCTCGGAGAAGAGAAATTCGCGTATCACGACGGCGCTGTGATGATCACGGAGCTTGTGGAGGGCGGTTTCGACGCTTTCAAAGCGATGAACGCAGAGGGTAAGGAGCGCGAGCGGAAGCATGCCATTGAGACGATTGGAAAGCTGGCGGCCAAGGATGGGAAAGTGGCGATCGTGGCTGGGCATTTGATGTTCTGGTCCGAAGGCAAGGATGCGGGGAATGTGGTGTGAACGGAGGAGGATTCGAAAACCTATTCGCATGTAGTGTTCTTGGACGTTCCGGCCGAGCTCGAGCATCGACGCCGGGAAAAGGATATGGAGGTTCGTCATACTGGCGCTCGCCCCGTTGAGTCGGTCGAGCATTTGCGGAAGTGGTAGGATGCGGAGAAGGAGCAGTTGCGCGAGCTCTGCCCTAAGCATGACATCTTGTTCACGGCCGTATCAGACAATGCCAGCTCTCCGAGGTTGTTGGGGAGTGTCTTGCCGCTGTTGAGAGATTTCCAGCTGCATAACGAGAAGCTCAATCTGTCTAGGGCCGAGAGTAGACTGGATGAAGCTTTTCTTGCTGGCCAAGGTAAGCTGGAAACGATGTTAGTCTTGGATGCCGACAAAACTCTTTCGGCGGCGGATACTGACTCGATGTTTTGGAAGAGGACGTCTAGCTCTTTCCAATCGGAGGGTAATGAAGATCCGTTACAGACGTTATTCAGCGGCCCGCTTGGATACAGCTACAACGCTTTTCGTCAAGCTACTCTGCTTTATGAAGAGGCGGTCAACGATCAGGAGTTTGAGGCTCTGTGCCAGGAAGTTGCTTCGGCGGTGGTCATGTATCCTGAATTTGTGTCCTTGTTGCGACAGACGGCAAAGCAAGATCATATTGGAGCTGTGATCGTCACCTGCGGATTACGTCAAGTCTGGGAGATTGTTCTGGAGAGAAATGGTCTGTCCCAGGCAGTGAGAGTCATTGCGGCGGACGTGTTACCGACGGTTTTGTTGTTACAGATGTAGTGAAAGCTGCCTTGGTTACTCGTCTGAAGGATGTTCACCAAGTGTATGTCCGAGCCTTTGGAGACGGACCACTTAACCTGAAGATGTTGGGAAAAGCGAATGAAGCTATCGTCGTCGTTGGTGATGAGGGAATTAGAAGTGTTTCCATGGAGAAGAAGTTACAGGATGCCATCGATAATGAGGGTCTTCATGCACGTCAAGCTGTGCTACCCAGCACTGCTTCACCACGCTTGGATGTTGGCAAGCTTCGCCTAGTCAATCTCACGGAGCAAAGCTTTCTCGACACTGTCTTACGTCGTCACACCCCGCGAGCTACCATTCGAACATTCGCTGCAACGAACAAGGGTGCCGAAAAGGTACTTACGGCACAGAGCCGCGATGCAACATTCGCTGGTCCAGCCTTGAGGGGAGTCCACCAGCGGATCGGACAGTATCTAGCTGCTGAATTCCTGACCGATGTCATTGGTGTCGATACCTACAATATCTTGCACGTCCAAGGCCATATGACGGACGGCCATCGACTTCTCCACGAGGAAAAGACGACTATCGTGACGCTCATGCGAGGCGGAGAGCCCTTGGCGCTCGGAGTCAACGATGTATTCCCACTTGCCATGTTCGTCCACGCCAACAAACCAGCCGACGTCAAGCTTCTTCATTTGGAAAAACAGCACACTCTTGTATTGGTAGATTCGGTCATCAACAGTGGGAAGACGATAGCGGAGTTCGTGCAATATGTCCGCCGTGAGCTGTGTTCCACTATTCGCATCGTGGTTGTTACCAATGTTGCGCAGGTCAAATCGATTGGCATTATGGCTCGTCAGCTCCCTGGTGAGAACTTCGATCTTGTTGCTCTTCGGCTTTCTGAAAACAAGTTCACAGGCACAAAGGGGGTTGATACAGGTAATCGTCTGTTTAACACGATCAATCTGGCATGATTCAACGGCTTTCCTCTTTTATCACAGGACAGTGAGATGGAGCTAGGCGAATGAATACAGAATAATTCCTGGTGTTTTTTTTGGAGGGGTACTGATAACTACGCCGTAATTGGACAACAGGAATGCGGGCGTCTATGTTTTTTAATACATGCTTTTGGGTTTTCTTGATGGATGACAGGATGATTGGGTTGCTGGCGTATGTTTTGAATATTTGTTTGGGGTTTCGAGGTTGTGGGCGTCGTTCTAAGCGCTATTCTATTGCTCATGTCTGCGTCTGAGCACTATAGCGACGGTATTGAGATTATTGACGAGATGTTAGAATACCGTGAAGTCGTGGAGGATCTAGTGTGTAGCTTTGACACCAGGGCGCTTGCCCAATCAGATGATAACCCTTGACATGCGCTCACAAACAAAAGCTAGCAGACTAAATTGATAACTTTTCCATTGATTTTACAAGATATCTTCTCCCTCCACGCAACCCAAAAGAAAAAGCATCAACAAGGAATCTATGTCAATCTTTAAAACATATCATACAACCTTCTTTCCACTGTTCGTCAATTTCAACGGCACAGGCTTACTCCACAACCACAACGCCACGAAGCCTACCCACCCGGCGACCGTGACCGCAATACCCGCCATCCAGGGCCAAGCACCGGTAATGGCCCAACTGCGCGGCCACTCATCGTGTGCAAAGTGGCGCACGGTAACGGTGTTCTTCTCTTCGATGTTGGAGAGTAAGGGCCGCTTGTGGTTTACTTTGAAGTTGAAGATTCCATGCTGGTCGGGGATTTTGAATGAGGTCGTCCAGATTGTCGACGTGGGGGTAGTGGAGGAGAGGGTTAGTGGGAGGCGATGGAAAGGCGACAGCATGGAGAATTCGAGTTGGACGTTATCGCCCTCGGCGGGTTGGAAGGGGACCCATTTATCCCATTGATATTCAGAGAGTTCGATGAAGTATTTCTGTTATGCTAATTAGCTGTCCGTATTTATATTAGGGTTGATATTACTTACCACATCATTCTTGACTCGGTAAATCTTGGGGTTTATCACAGGCTCCGTCTCGCCTTCATCCAAGTGGTGCTCAATCTTGCCAACCTTCAAAACACCAATTTCATTAAACGTCCAGCCCGTGACTTCCTTTGCGAAAGCCTGGTTGGCCGTCTTGGCAGCCTTGTCCGAAGCAGCTCCAGTCAAGCCAGCACTCGGCTTGACCTTAGCATCAAACCAAGCATTCTCAAGCATCTCGGAAGCTCCAATCACCGTAAAACGAGCAGAATTTCTCGCCTGCATCGCAGTAACAAGAGACAATTGCTGTCCGACCGCAAACGGATCATCCACGCCCTCAACCTCTTCCTTGGGGTTATATGAGTATGCCGTTCTAGGTGCTCGGAGAATAGGAGTCAACAATGGGCTAGTATTGCCCAGAGTCTGTCCCACACCTTTGGGGAATGCAATCACGTCTTTGCCGTCTCCAGCGAAGAAGTTCTTGACATCTGATCGGAGAGCATCTGGTCTCGGGACGAGCACGACATCGTGCTTCTCTGCGGCACTGATGGTGTCGTAATTGAAGTGGTCCACTACCAGACCAGTGCGGTCGCTGGGAAGGTGGATGTCGAGTTCGAGGAGGAGGGATACGAGGGCGGAGGGTGTAGGATGGGACGACGAAAGTGTGAGGAGGATATTTCCACCGGCGTTGATGAAATCAAGGAGGATTTTAGGTGTCAATTGTGGACCAAGGCCTATAGATAATCAGATTGTGTAATTCCAACAAGGATATCTTGTCATTCGTACCTTTCGACTTTGGTGGTAGAATAAGTAGGTGGTCATAAGCTCTCTCGCCCAATTCAAACAACGCAACTTTATCACTCTTCGGTGATTCGTATGTGAGTTTAAAGCCTCTAGCTATAATTCCTCGCCATCAGTAAAATTCCCAATCCAGACCCCCCAAGAATGTGCCATTGAGACAAAACTTACCTTCAAGATCCCCCAAATACTTCGAGTACTTGGACTTCTCAGCCAACTCTTCAATCACCACCAACAGTTTATTCCCACTCGCGCTCGCCGCCTGCACAACGGCCAGCAGGCCTAGCAGCAGAAAAGAAAGAATCCACCGCATTGTCGTTGTGTGGTTGTAGTGTATGCAATGTTCAGTCTGGAAGCTTAACAACTTTAGGAAACGTATGCAATTGCCAAGACTTGCAGGGATGTGGTACGTACCGCAGCGCTACCGTACCTTAAGGTACTGTAGCAAGCTACACGTGATTGGCGCTACTCCATACAGTAATAATCGAGCTTCCCGTCGTCAACCTCATCGAACAACATCGAAACCTCGCTCGCGCCAAACCTCACCTCACGAGCCGGAATTGCAATAACCCCTCAATTGCGTTCGTCGCCATCTCCTCTCCCTCCCTTCCCTCCAACACCCAGCTAATTCCCTCCGCCCCAGCCACCATGTCAGCAACCCCCCGTTTCTGGTCCCAACCAATCCGCTACCTACGCTGGGCAGCGATCCAAAAACCCGCCATTTTCTTCTCCGTCATAGTCGGCAGCCTGGGTCCCCTCACGGTGGCGGTCGTGCCGCCTATTCGACGAAGACTGGGCGATGCGCAGAGGCCGGAGATTCCATTTACGTATCCCGGTATGTTCATAATAACTCGCGAACCAAATAACTCGCAACCCAGATGGACGGGGGGGGGGGAAGGGACAGGGTGTCTGTATATATGCTTGGAATATATGTATGCTAACGACATCTCTTATAGTCCCCACGGGTCCCCGAAAAGATTTAAAAGGGTATGAGGATTGAGGTGTATGTTCTGGCGAGGCGATGGATGAAGGAGAGGGGTAGGATGGAAGTGTATATAAGGCGTTTTGAGAATGGGAATGAAAATACCAGAATGGATGAAACGACCAAGCTACGGCTGGAATTACTCTTGTCCATACGCGTGGTCCTGAAATTATACGTGCATGCAAAACAACAGACGAAGGCTGATTGATGGAAATCACCACCTACCTACCTACCTACCTACCAGAAGCAATGGTGCAACGAAGCTGGAGCAAAATTGTAGTAGCTATGTATGGTATAGTCCTGAATGTAAGTATTGCGATTCTTATTGTGGTCCCTGGCGCAGGACCAGGACCCTCTTTAGCAACTACAATTTGATACAATTTGGGCATTTAAAGCCCACAGATGCCCTAGGTCTCTGTTTATTACTTATCTGCCATGTCCGATTTCCCATGCATACCATTCTTTCAGCTTGAAAATGAGATATATATCAAACATTCACTAGCACAAAAGAAAAAAAAACTCAAAAGGAAACTTTAAGTATGAAGCAGTGGGAAGTTTACTAAAATGACTATCCTAGCCTTATTACGTCTAACTAATCTATGCCAATGCCAATGCCAATGCCAGTACTCCTGTCCTCCTACTGGAACACCATTGCCCTGCCTTCAGCCGTATTGTCATACCCAATCCATACTCCTAGCAATCCATGCTGAGTTTATCAATCAATACCAAAGAACCCAAACCACCATCAATCCAACGTAGCAGCAGACTAGAATAAGAAGCAATACCAATTGAAAAACAAAACCGTAGTCAACAATGAAACCTATACCGATACTCTCACCTTTCAAATATCTTAAATGAAAGCTCCGTTTTCCTCGCTACCACCAGCGATTCTCTTGCGGCGACTATTGAGAAACAGCTCGACCATACGCTTACTTCCAATAGCCTGGGCATCCTGCTCCGACATTTCGCCAGTATCCGGACCCAGAAGACCTGCCCCATCGGCACCATACAGGTCATCCGGATCCTCCGCCATCTTTACATTCTCATTCTGGGTATAAGATCGGGTCGAAGTAGAATCGAACTGTTTCCCGACCGATCTCGGTGTGTTGTTCAATGGACGGCCATATTTCTTGACCAACTTCGCTGGGGTTTCCATGCTTTTTGTGCTGCGAAGCGTGGTAGATGATACGTTTCGCTTGTGAAGCAGGTTCCTTCCACTCATACTTGTTACCTTGAGAGCAGAATTGGGAGCGCTATCCGCATGAGTTGTGTTTGTAGTTGCAATTGACCGAAGAGACGACCTCGACGGCATAGGTCGGATAGGAGAATGAACAGGAATCGGCGGCGGAGGAGGTGGGGGTGGGATATGCGGCCTACCAACACTTTCTGATTCCATAGATTCAACGAGTGAGACGGCAGAGCGCTTCTTCAATATAGGCTTCAAGGGCGGCGGATTATGGAAGTGGGCGTTCTGCTGAACAATACCCAGAGGCTGCATGACCGTGCTAGCTTTGCGTTGAGAAACTTGCACATCATCGTCATGGATCTGTGCATTCTCTCGAATATGGCCAGTATGAAACGACTTTGGCATCGTGGGCAGCGCGTAATTGACATATGAGCCTTTATTTGTGTTATCTTTGACCTTTTCAAGTTTTTCAACTTCAGACGACATCCATTTCTTCCATTCGACCGATCCATTAGAGCCGGTGACACGGTGACTTGCTCCATGTGGCATTGCAGGACGGTAGGTCATTCTGTCCAGAATAACGGCATCACCATTACCCGAAGGCAGAAAGGGCATCTCAGGAATAGAACGATCATTCGACACCAATGAGATCGCACTAACAGCCGCAGGGATTTGGCCACTTGTGGTTCGCGAATAAACACTCTCGCTGTACGCTTTCTGAGACTCGTGGTCGCTTGGCCCAGATGTGGAACTATCAGGTCCAGAGTAGAGAGGATTGCGAACTAGAGAGGCTTGACTGGGTTCTCTCAGCGCTGACGAATGATAGTCGTCTTCAGCCATAGCACGTCTGTAAGGACTTGTTGTTCTCGCAATGGTCATATTACTTCCTCCAAAGAAGGTCGATCTGGATTCCCGCAGACCTTTGTGCGCTGGAACAACTGGCTCATTGAGATGTGCTATCTCTTGTGGTGTAAGTCCAGACTCTTCTGGTACAGTGTAAAAAGAAGAATTGGCAGAACGCACTGCCGCAGGAGCATTCGATTCAGGCCAGCTTGGGTGATTGGTAGCATAATTCTTTTTGTCGGCCATTGGGACCTTTGGCGAGAAAACATCATCCTCATTTTTCATGCGCATTTCACGAAGAGGCTCCGCTGTGACCCATTGCTGAACATGCCTTTTACTATATTCGGTGTCTTCGTCGCCTCTTGGTACCCGAACCGAATTGGATCTTACATTCTGGTGACCATGGCTTTCATATTCGTGGTTTCTACCGCTCCTTTTGGAATCCTCGGGAGTCACTTGCCGGATAGTGGCAGGAGTTCGGCTGCCCTTGCTGCTATGAACAGAGCTACCACGTGCTGGGATCTGCTTTGAACCAGCAAAACTCTCCACGCTCCCAATTCGCGAGGCTGCAAGTTTAGCTTTGGGACTGTTTTCGTCCAGTCGCTTCATGAGTGCCGAATAGACCCGCGCGCTATCAACGGAAGTAATGTTACCCGCACTCTTGCTTGGTCGATGCATGATGGGATAAGCTGAAAATTGGTTTGGTAACCTCTGCCGGTCAAAGGACGAAGATGTGATATGGGTACCGTTCTCGTTAATAATTGAAAGCCGTTGTTGCTCTCTTTCGGTAAGTGCTCGCCCACCATGGCTTGTAACGGTATTGGCAGCAGTGCTAGTCCAGCTGGTAACTCGAGATTTGTCGTCGCTGTGCTCGCTTCCTAAGCTTCTAACGCTTCCGGTATGTGACTTTAACTTCTCGTCCGAGCTTTTCACACGAATCGACGGTACACGGGATGCCACACGCAAGAGTGAAGCCTCATCTGGATGAAGACCATTGGAGAAGGTCTCTTGCATTCCGGGAGTATCGCCATCATATTTACGAACGTGCGTTTCCGGTGCGTCGACCTGCTGATTTGGTATGGCGAACGGTTCATCTTTAGCGAACCCAAGAACGCGCTTCAATTTGTTTTTGATCGTCTTAGAGACCTTTCGAGCCTTGTCTCTTAGCACAGACTCCTTCGGCTGCGCGGGTTGATTTTTGGATGCGATAGACATGCCATAGCTGCTTCCGCTGCTACTACGGACCGATTTTCTGAAGGTTCTCTCTGGTTTGTGGAATTTTGATCTAAAAAGAAAGGACGGCTGTTCTCGCAGTCTTTGTTGGGTGGTTTGGTGGAAGAACCTATCTCGTGCCATCTGGACTGCTTCGTCATTTCTCGCGCCAAAAGTGGTCGATCTTCGGCTGCGGAGAAAACTCATTGACTTTGGACCTCGCAATGCATGTTGAGATGGTCGATTTTCGGATGCTCGAGAGTCGGTAGTGCTCCGTCCCGTGTATGAAGTGTCATGTCCATCCGGGGTGCCATTAGTATAGAAGACATGCGGAGCTTTAAGAGGGCTGAACATAGACTTCGACCTTCGGATTCGGCGGTATGAGGAAGGAGTGGAGGCAACGTCGTCTTCACGAGTGTAGTATTCATCGTATGCTGCGAGGGCTGTGGCAAAGCTGTCACCTGTTGCTTTGCTCATCGAGCCTTTGCCAATTGAGGATGAACGACTCGGTGGTCGATATGCAGCCGGAACGGGGGCATTTGTAGTCATTGCCATCGGTCTCAGAGTAGTCGTGCTTGACTTTCGCTGGACAGTAGGCTGCGTCCCTCGCCCACCAATGGACTGTCGTCTCTGTACGGCATTGGGTCCAGCGAAACGGACACTTTGCTGCCGCTTGACAGTATGCTCCTTGTTGTTCGGGGCATCTTGATGAGAGATGCGTGGTGCATTGTGCGATGAGAAACCGCTGCGGCTCATATCAGCGCTGCTCCTCTCTTGTGATCGAGCGAAGGCTAAATTGGCAGCGACGTGGGCATGTTGACGAGCGACCTCAGGATCAATTGAATCATGCTTGTTGTGAACTGACGATGTTGATTTGCGACGACTGATGCTGTTTCGTCGAAGCATCTTGTGAAGCGATAGCCGCAGAAATGAAGTAATTGAAATGAGACTTGTAGAATGCGATACAGTTTCTGCAGTCTGCATGCATGCGGTAACCAAAAGTTGAGACGAGCTCGATGATGAAGGAGAAAGAAACAACACGGAGACTCGGGAAGGATAACCAAGTACTTGGAAATGCGGCTCGAATGGAAGGTGCCATTCTGCTCAAACCTTTTAAACACGACGGTCGCTCTAGGAAGGAGCGATGCAGAAGCTTCACTACTGAGTTCGCACCAAGCTCAAACATTAGCATGAACATGTTGACGAGGAAATCACTTTGGAAAAAACTGTGTCAAAATTGTATCGTTTGTCTATTGTTTGTTATAAACGAAAGAAACTTGTGACACGAGGAAACCTGTAATCAAGATGGATACAATGAAAAACCGAACCACCATCCAGCTCCGACCCATGATGCTCAAACTGTAAAAAGGACCCGGTAAGGAATTATGTCCTGGCAAGACATTGATTCGATATCATAAATGTCAATAACATGATGCAATTTCGCTCACATGCTAAGCTCCTCGAAGAACTCTTTGAGCTCTTCCTCAACAATTTGCTCGATCTTCTTTGAGAGCTTCTCGGTCTTGGACACAGCTGTCTTGGTATCCTTGACAATTTCTCCAGAGACCATGTTGAAATCCTTCTCAATAGCTTCCTCCAGCAGCTCAACAGTGGTTGGCAACTTAAGAGGCTCCTTGGTAGCAGCCTTCTTGGAGTATCCACCAGACTTGATGATGGAAGAGTAGTTGGAAGATCCACCACCGTTCCAGGCCAAGATGTTCTCGGTATCCGAGGGGACGTCACTCAAAACACCCTCAGTGGCAACGCTGATCAAGTTCTGCTTGAGCTTCTTGGGGGTAAGCTCAGCAACTGCGTATGCAGAGTCCGAAGATGGCTGGAGAGACAGGTAGTAGGCCAAAAGACCAGCGATATGTGGGGAGGCCATGGAGGTACCAGAGATGGTGTTGACGGCGTACTTGCTACCAATCCAGGTAGACAAAATGCTCAAACCAGGAGCGAAAATATCGTTGCACTTTCCATAGTTGGAGAAGTATGCACGGGAGTCATCGAGAGCTGACGCACCGACGGTGATGGCGTTCTCAGCAGCTGCTGGGGAGTAGTTGCAAGAGTCGGCATTGTCATTTCCGGCGGCAACAGCGAAGTGAATACCAGCAGCAACGGCACCGTTCACGGCACGGTCAAGAGCAGGGGACTTGCCACCACCAAGAGACATGTTGGCGGCGGATCCCTTGAAGCCCTTCTTTCCCTTCTTAGCTTTCTCAGTGTGGGAGTTGGCAGCCCACTCAACACCCTTTACGACATCTGCCATAGTTCCAGATCCGTTGGATCGGAGAACCTTGACAGCATAGACGTTGGCCTTCTTCGCAACACCATACTTCTTGCCAGCAACAGTACCAGAGCAGTGAGTTCCATGTCCATTTCCGTCCTCGTCGGCATCGCCAGCTGGGATGGTCTTACCCCAGTGTGCTCGGCCCTCGAAGTCGACGTGCTCGGTGTTGGTTCCGGTGTCAATAACGTAGACATCGACACCCTCACCCGCATCAGCGGCATATAGGTACTTGTTGAAATCGCTGAAACCTAAGCTATCTCTGTGGGAGATACGGGCAAGACCCCATGGGGCGTTCTTTTCGAGCTCCCCGGTATCATCTCCTCCTAATGTGTGGACAAGAGAGTCTTTCTCAACATATTCGACCTGGAAGAGAGGACGTCAGCAACAGTTCAGACAGTGGTCAATAATTATGCAATGGGAGGTGGCGTCTATCACGTGCTGAAAGCAGTTATGCAATTCAGGCAACTAGCTTGAATGCCCCCGAGGTCGCGTGGTACTTGGAAATAGCAAGTTTGATAAGGCCCAAGATGAAGCTCTGAAGCATTGTTTGGAGACCTTTTGAAAAGCGAGAGATACGACAAAAAGAGTAGCGGAGAGCTCAGAAGGTACTCACATCGGGATGTCTTCGGACCTTCTCGATCACAGAGTCATCGAAATGGCCAGAGTAACCCAGGAAGTCGCCGGCGATGTTGTATGTATGTTTGAGACCCTCGAAGATGTCGTTGGTGATGGGAAATTGCGAGCGTTTGCGGAGCTCAGTTCGCACATTCTCGCTCTCGCCGTGGATGTTTTGCACCCAGCTGTGATGGTCGGAGGCCGACTTCTCTGTGACGTGCTTCTTGAAGACGACAATGTAGGAATCAGGAATGGTCTCGGCATTGCTCGAGGAGAGGATAGGAGCAGCACCTTCGTGGATGGTCTCGGTGCTGAAGGTTGGTGCCGATGACGCCAGCAGCGGCAACAGCGTCAAGCCGATAAGCCCACGCATGATGGATGGAATGAATGGGATTGGAAAAAGAGATAGATAGAGGTCTGCCTGAGACTGTGATAAAATGAAATGAGATCTGTGGACGATGGTGGAGTTTGAAGACAGTTGGTGGTGCTGTCTTCGAGATGGATGATGGATGGAGGAAGAGGAAGAAGGGTTGTTGATGAAGGAGAGGAGAGGAGAGGAGATAGAGATGTAGGTGGTTACGGCAGAGCTCTGGTCGCCTAGAGAGGGTCCTTGCGCTTGAAGTGGTCACTGGGGCGGAGTTTCAAAGCGAGTTAAACCATATGCGGTAAGGATCCATGGCTTATCGCCAGATAAGAGGAGGCAGCTGTGAAGGTGTGATTCACGAGGGATGTGTGAGTATCTCTATGTAAATACCATGTAAATCACAGAATATGGCAATAGAATGATAACATTACATTGTAATACTTCGTATATTCCTATTCAATAATGCTGGAGTGGAAGATCCAAGAGCATCGCATCTCCAGAGCTCTCCTTGCCCACCCTCGCCGCAACCAGTCATCAACATCAACCCCACACCAGCGTCAGCGTTCAGACTAGACAAGCTGCCATCCCTTGAGCTCTCCACTCCTCGGTCAGGAACGGCGCTTATCTTGCTCACCTGTCCTGTCCTGTCCTGGGAGGAATGGAGCTTTATAGACACTGGGTATCATAAGAACAAGGCGTCTTATTGTCAATAATATGTAATCACTGCCGGACTAAGACATCGCTGCCACTCTACTGCCCACCTGATACTTTCACATTGATACACAGTACGGTACTAACGAGTCAGCTAGGTATTTGACTCGGGCTTGGGGCTGCTGAGCCTTGCCTTGCCGATACCATACACGTGAGTCCACCAGCATGGAGCCTTGTGCTCCAGTACAGTAGGAGGGAATTATGCTCGGCATGGATGAATCATGGACCTCTCCTCTCCCTCCGCTTTTCATAGCAAGCAATACATACAATGCAATACAATAATGAATTCTCCCGAAAACAGTCAACACGAATAGAATCCAAGTCTCTTCCATGTCCCCCAATCATGTGAAGTCATCCATCATCCATCGCATCCTCCTCCAATGCTGAATGTATCCCCGTTCCCGTTCCCCGTCTTACAGTACGCGAAAACCCACTCTTTCTCTGTTCTGTTTGAAACCTCGCGAGGCAAGTCAACCACCACTTCAGCCTCACCGTACAACACTTCTAAAGTCTACAACCCAACACAAATTCGGCGCCGCCAACCTAACCTACGCCCCCCTCCCCCCAATTGCTACATTCCTTGTAAAATTGCGCGTCTTCTGCCCTATCGACTCTCCTAAAGTTACAACAGCCTGCAATCCTCTTCGATGCCAATTAGCTAGCTTACCCCGGTGCCTGGACTCTCCACGGGCGTGAGACAACCCAGAACAACAAATGAGGGACGGTAGGAGGCCTTGATTCTATCGGGAGATAGGGGAGGTGCAGAACTATGTCGGCTCGGTCACGGCGGCAGCGCTCGTCGACTGTTGCATCCGGCCCGCCAGAAAGTACCAAAGCAACTGCTGAGCTCCAGCTTCTCCTCGACAACCTCTCCACAACCCTCCACGCAGTCCCAGAAAATGTATATCCAGACCTCTCTACGCTGCTCGACCAAACCCAATCCATCCGTCGATATCTGATTGCTTCAATCCCACCCGCGCGAGCCAACGATGACTTTCGACATTTGCAAGGCTTCCAAATACTCTTAGATACCCTCCGTACCTTCTCAGGCTTCTACAATCCCTCGAAGCGAAATCAGAAGGAGAAGACTCAGTTATTTGAACTGCTAGGCATAATCTTGGGTGTATTGGCAGAAGCATTCCGAGAACATTATGGGAATCGGAGATACTTCAAACGCAGGGTGGAAGGTGGCGGCTGGGCAGCCCTAGAGCAGACAATTGCTAGCATTGGTATTGGCGGGAATGAGTCGGACATCTGGGGCGAAGCCCAATTGTTTGGCCGACTGCTAGCCTTTGCTTTAGACGACAAGAGATTTGAAACTCTGTGCCAAAAAGCGACTGGACTCCACCCATCCGTCAAGTCAGAGGGACCCCCTACAAAAGATAAGGATCTCGCTGCATATTTCCCAAGAACAGATCAACCCAAAGACAAAAGCGTAGCATATACTGCTACATCCAGCGACGAGGAGGCTCTTGTGCTTGTGGATAATAAGCTTCAGGAGATCTTGCGAGAAAGTTCTCTGCTCTATAACGCTGATATTGTACCAATCATTATTGATTTCTGGAAGACAATCCCTCGAGCACCAGGTACATCTGTCAACCCATCTGTGTTGGTTGTCATTTTGACATTAACCAAGATATCATCTGTATCCCATCATAATCTCTTGGCTGTCCATGGAACTGGGATATTGTCAACTTTACTTCCACTTGCTTTCGATTCCGATTCTCCTCTTGCCACTCCCGAGAGACGCTCCGTGGAAGCGCTTTGTGGTTCCCTCATATCACTCGGCATTAGCACTTTGAGCGATGCGCAATATCTTGTTTGTAACAAATCGGCGGCGGCCGCTGACTTTCTTCTGAAATCAGTCAAAGGCTCTCATGGCCCCGCATACATCCAATTTGACCTCTCTCTGAATGGTTATGCATCTATAGAGCTCCCAACGTTAGGCCGATCATTTCCACCTACGACGGCACCTGGCTACACATTCACAGCGTGGATATATGTGGATCATTTTGACCCGAACTCTCACACAACAATCTTCGGTGCTTTTGATTCAACGCAGACTTGCTTTCTCCTAGCATATTTAGAAAGGGATACCCAGAACTTCATCCTCCAGACCTCAGTCACCTCATCACGTCCAAGCGTAAGATTCAAGACAAAGGTTTTCCGGGAGAAGCGCTGGTATCACATCGCACTGGTTCACCGACGCCCAAGAACTATGACTTCGAGTAAGGCTGCATTGTATGTGAACGGCGAGTTCGCCGAGCAAGTCAAGTGTCAATATCCTGCGCCTCCGCCTGTCTCCGACGCCAGCACTGAAAGCTTTACATCATTCACCTCCTCTGCTAGTAAAGCAACAAATCCTGTGCAGGCATTTATGGGCACACCCCAAGATCTCTCAACGCGCCTTGGTCGCGGTGTAGTGTTCTCACGCTGGTCATTAGCATCAGCCCACCTGTTTGAAGATGTCTTGAGTGACGATCTTGTCGCTGTATACTATCGACTCGGACCTCGCTACAATGGTAATTTTCAAGATTGTCTGGGCTCTTTCCAAACTTACGAAGCCTCCGCTGCGCTGGGAATGCGTAACGAGCTTATACACCCGGGAAAAGATGAGAACTCTGACATTATAGGGGCTATTCGAGAGAAGGCTAGTATTCTTGTCCCGGAAAGCCGCATTTTACTTAGCATTCTTCCTTCCGCTGTTCTTGGGGAGGATAGTCGCCACAAAGGCTATGAATCACAACTTATGCGGGGTTTGAACCGGACAGCATCAAACAACTTATTTCAGCTGACTCACAACAATGGATCTGCGCTGGCTATCAATGCTGCCATTCCCTCCCTAAATGAAGCTTTGACCCGAGCTCAAGGGACTATGGTGTTGACAGGAGAGCCGGTCGTCGTTGTGCCTCAGTCCTTAGACGATGCTCTGTGGCAACTGGGCGGCTTCGCTGGAATAGCCCTCAAACTGGTCGAAAACGCAAAAACCAAGGACGAAATTGCACGAGCCGTTGAGATTTTGTTTGAGAGCATCAAGGGTAGTTGGCGGAATAGCGAGGCTATGGAACATGAGAACGGATACACCATTCTTGGTGCTCTGATTCGTGGCAAGATTGGGGCTGGAGTTGTTGTCTCGTCCAGGGGCAGTAACATCACGGATGTGTCTGCTATGAGCACTGACGATCGAGACCAGCTCGGCTTTCGACTTCTTAGTTTGGTGTTGGACTTTGTTGGATATAGTCACGAAAAGCCAGAGGAATCGTACATCATCAATCCCCTAGCATATCGCATTCTACTCGTAGATTTTGATATGTGGCGAAAGACAGCTCCTATCACACAGAAACTCTACTACAAGCAGTTCATTACTTTCGGTGTGAACAGCAAATTCCATCAATTCAACTCTAAAAGACTATTCCGAATGCGTAAGCTACCCTAAAGTCACTTCGATGCGCAACTACTAATATGAAATAGGTATAGTACGGAGATTTTTAGACGCTCTCAAAGCTGAGACATTTCAACGCGACGTATTTCCAGCTTTCATGGAAGCATTCACCAGTTTAGTAAAGTGCAATATGACAGCTGAAGTCCTACGAGCTCTTTCTCTATTCGTCACGTACGCTTATCATAAACCTACCAGCTCCGCAACAAGGACGCCTAATAAAGCGCAGTATGGAACGCTACCAAGCAGATCTGGGACTGTTACCAAGAGACCAAGCATTGCGACTTTCTTGGATGGGAACATTGTATCCACGAATTTAAGCAAGAGAGAACTTGGTACCAAAATACTTGAAATGTACGCAGGTCTGCTGTGTGAAGATAGTAGTTCGTCGAATCTTAAAAAGTTTGCGAGGACTGTGACCAACAAGGTAAGCAAAAGTCTGTCATAGACTATCGACAAATTCTAACTTGCAATAGTGGCTTTTGCATCTTCTGTCGGAAGATGACCCAGAAGTTGTGGTCTTAGGAACCAAAATCTTGGCCCGACTTATCGTAGTCAATGGCTCAAGCTACGCTACAAAATTCGCAACCAAAACTGGTGGCTTCGCTATCATGCGCTCGAGGTTGAAAAGGTGGTGGGATATTTCCACCCTTTGGCCGATTTGTTTCAGTATCCTGTTCGCTCGCGATGTAGCCGATATTGATTTTGAACGACCATTTGAGTTGTTTAGTCTCCTTGAGTCATTCAGCAACTGCAAGATCGTCTATCCTGCTGTACTACCTGTTATCACGGCCATGTTACAGCATGGCTTGAAAGAGGTTCTTCGTCATCAAGATGATCCTGATTCGCCTTTGAACGAGCGAAGTACTGGACCAGACCACGGTACTCTGAGTGTACCGAAACCCCATTCTCGCCGTCGCTCCATGTCCTTGACGAAGGAGTTGGAAGCTCGCCGTAAGAAAATCGCTACATACTCCGTTGAAACGCATACTAATTTTTCTCTAGAAACACACCAACACAAAAAAGAGCGAATTGGCGGCCAAGCCTCTGTTCTCCACACTGTCATTCGATTCTTCGCGGACCTGCATTCGAATTCTTCTGACTTTAGGGACTTTACTGTATCATCGGATTACATTCGGCTCTTGCTCGCAGTCCTCTTCCCAGTGATCGTCAGCGCCGACGCTGTCAATCCCGAGACGGAATTAAACTCTCGAGACTCAGCATTGACATTTGAAGGCGACGATGTCATCATCAGACCTATCTCCCGCGCTACAACCACACCTGCACCAATTGTCCGAACATCTAGCGTCGAGACTCTGCTCCCACCCAGCCCGACTGCGCCTAGAGCTAAACCTCTACGCCGAGGCTCATCATTTATCTTACTAACCTCCAAACCATCAGAATTCAGTCCTTCATCGGCTAGATTAAACCTAGTTATGTCACCCAAGAAGAAAGTCGCTGCTCAGAAGATCAGCAACTCCCTTGTCGAAGGCTTACTTGAGCTAGTCATCAATGTCTTTATTGACCAAGTCACAGTCCGGAAAGAGTTTCCTGGCTTTGGCTTATTCTTAAAAGTACCACCAGGGTTTCAAGAACATCAAGCGTACTTTGAATCTTATTTGTTACGAAACACAATTTCACAACTCGGGAATACGATTCAGCTCGACCAGAAATTATTGTGGGAGCCGAAACTCATTCAGAATATGGCGAGGTTTGTTACTCACATGGGCGAGGCTATCTTTGAAGGATGGTTCTTAAGTGGGGCAGAACCTTTGCTCGACTTTGCAGGAACATTGTTGGAATACCTGCAACGACCTGAGATTTCTAAGATAAAAAGTGTCAGACTTTGCAGCCAAGCCATCCTCTCAATCAAGAGTGTCTTCTTGAGGGTCGTCTTACTGCGACTGTCGGAGCTGGATAGTGCTCAAGAATCCGAAGATGAGGCTGTAGCATTCATGGATAAGCTTTTATACTGGCAGACTGTTGTTCTGTCATCAGATGGCGGCGAGGATGACTTTCTCAAGCTTATCTGTTATCAGCTATACTTGAAGTTGGTTGACTCAAGGGAACGTATTCGTCTAGCGGCTACAAACCTTTGGCGTATCTTGCTCGTTCAGAAGCCCGAAGAAACGTCGACGATATTTCACTACTCGACATCCACAAATCACAGACATTTAACATCTGGTTTCAAGAAACTCATGGAGTTAGATAATGAAACATTCGTTCAGTGGGTCGATGAACAACGAGCAGAACTGGATGCGTTATTCTTCGGAGCTATGTCAAAAGCGTGGGAGGATTTCGTCAGTGCAGAAAATCAAAAGACCGAAGAGACGGCCAAGGGTCGAATTGCCAAGCGTCGAGAGAGACTCAGGCAATGGCACACTGAGGACTTCACTGATGAAAAAATCCTTTTCCAACACGATCTCGCGACATCCTCGTGGATGAAGAACATCTACGCCGCAGAGCATCTCAAGCACCAGCGAGCGCAACAAGATCAGCAAGACAACTTTAGTTTCCTTGCTTCCACGTTTTCAAAAATGGATCGCGAACTTCATCGACCTTGTGCAGTCTTCGACAACGAATCACCGACGAAATGGAAGCTCGATCGTACAGAGGGCCGTAATCGTATGCGGCTTCGCATGTTACCAGATCGGGCAGCTGGCTCGTATGATTATCAACCAAAACGCAAGACCACAGATGCCTCCTCAAATGGAACACTGAAGCTTAACACGAAGCTTGCCTCGCCAGCAGTTCCAATCATCGGAACAACCCCAGTATCAGATTTGCCACCGCAGAATGATTTGGATGGTCCAAGTGATGATCCAAGTGACTCATTGATGAATGTTCAGCAGGACGGAGCAAATGAGGTCAATGAAATCGCTGTTCCGGAAGAAGAGTTTGAACTTGTGGATGATCCTAATGAACCTGAAGGCAACGATGCCTATGAAGACAAGAACCGTAAAGTTATGCGGAGTCTTCAGCGTGGCGACCAGGTGCAACAAGTCTTCAATATCTCCAGAATCATTGGTCTTGAGGCCTGTGAAGGATTACTTATTCTAGGCAAAGATTCTCTATATCTCATCGACAACGTCTTCCAGAGGTCTGATGGAGAAATTGTAAATGTCTCACAGGCTCCAGCAGAGGAACGAGATCCGTATTTGCAGATCATCGCTGGTCAGCCTGGTCAAAAAGCGAAAACAACTCAGGCCGCTAGAGGCGAACAGGAATCAAGAAGCTGGAAATGGAGCAACGTGATCAGTATCTCGAAGCGACGTTTCCTCTTCCGAGATGTCGCTATTGAGGTCTTCTTCACTGATGGCCGGAGTTATCTCTTGACTGCTATCTCGCCAATTATCAGAGATGATTTATATTCAAAGCTTACATACAAAGCGCCCCACTCTACTGGAAGTTCCAGTCTACCGAACCCTGAAGATGGCTGGCGGCTTGAAGCTCTAAAGGTCTCTGAAGAGGCGCCTGCTTCGTTTGGTTCCAAATTCGGTTCTATCTTCAACTCCTCGGCGTGGAATCCAGCAATGCGTAGATGGGCAAAGGGAGAAATTTCGAATTTCCATTATCTGATGTTGGTGAATACTATGGCTGGCAGGACCTTCAACGATCTTACTCAATATCCAGTATTTCCCTGGGTTCTCGCCGATTATACTAGTGAGGAACTGGATCTCGAAAATCCGGCTTCCTTTAGGGATTTGTCGAAACCAATGGGAGCTCAACATAACTATCGGGCTGCGGATTTTATTGAGCGATATAAGACTTTTGCAGACATGGGCGACCAGCATACACCAGCTTTCCACTACGGGACTCATTACTCATCAGCTATGATTGTTACCTCGTACTTGATCAGACTTGAGCCTTTCGTCAAGTCGTTCTTGTTACTTCAAGGTGGTAATTTTGACCATGCAGACCGAATGTTTTATTCTGTCCAAAAGGCTTGGCAGTCTTCTTCGAAGGATAACATGACAGATGTGCGGGAGCTGATTCCTGAATTCTTCTATCTGCCAGAGTTTCTGACGAATACTAATAATTATAACTTTGGCACAAGACAGAGTGATGGTGGCAGTGTGGATACGGTTCAGCTTCCTCCTTGGGCTAAGGGAGATCCTAAGATATTCGTCGCCAAGAATAGGGAAGCCCTCGAGAGCCCTTATGTTAGCAAGCGTCTTCACCAATGGATTGACCTAATTTTTGGCTGCAAGCAACGCGGCGAAGCAGCCATCGAGAGTGTGAACGTCTTCCACCATCTCTCATACCACGGCGCCACAAACCTCGACTCCATCCCCGACGAAGAAGACCGTAAGCGCACGATTAGCATAATCCATAACTTCGGCCAAACCCCTTACCAAGTATTCTCACGCCCGCACCAAGCCCGCGAAGAACCTCGCTCCCGCATTAAGCGTCTCGACAACGCAGCCCTTTCCCTAACCCGCCTCCCTTTTGCACTCTTTGAATCCCACGAGCGCGTCGCCTCCCTAATCTACGCCCCTAAACTCGACCGCCTCCTCTGCGCCACCGCCTTCCGCCTCAACCTTCCCCCCACCTACGACAAATACCTCGAATGGGGCTTTGCAGACAACACTGTGCGTTTCTTCTTCACCGAGTCCCGCAAGCCCGCCGGTCTATTCGAGAATCTTCATCAAGGCCAGCTATCAGCCGGTATCTTCGCCTCTTCTCAGCTTCTGATTACGGCGGGCGAAGATTGCGTTCTGTCTGCCCATACTATCGTCACCTCGCCTTCCAAACCAGTAGAGCTACAACTCCGCTCCTCGCTCTTCGGCCACAAAACCCCAGTCACCACCCTCGCGGTCTCGAAATCCTTCTCTACCCTGCTCTCTGCATCCGCCGACGGCATCGTGCTGTTATGGGATCTTAATCGTCTGGAATTCGTGCGGAAACTTACACATGGCCGTCCGGTCGAAAGCGCAGCCATCAACGACGTCACGGGCGATATCCTCCTCTGCCGCGGACAGAAAGTCGCGCTGTTCACGCTTAACGGGGAGCTCATCCTCGAGCAGAATGTATGTCAAGACCAGGACGACTATGTGGCTTCTTGTGCTTGGTATGAAGGCACTGGCAACGAGTGGTTGGAAAGCACGCTGCTGTTCACGGGCCAGCGGAGGGGGGTCGTGAATTGTTGGAAGAAGGTCGTGGGTAAGGGGAAAGGGGGATGGGCCTTGGAGCTGGTGAAGCGCATGGTGCATTATGAGGAGGATGGCACGGCGGTTAGTGGAGGGAATGGAGGGAGTAATGGCGAGGCGGCTGTTAGTTGTGTGAGGGCTATGGCGCAGTGTGTTTATACGGGGGATGAAGATGGAAGAGTGGTGAGTTTACCTTCTTCCTTTCCCTTCTATTTAAGTTTCAGATTTTGGGCTTTGGGCTTTGGACTTTGGCTAATTGATTGAAAAACAGTATGAATGGGATATCATCGCACGCGAACAATGATAGATGATGGGGTGGTTACTGTCGATGTGGTGTTTATAGACGGCGGTGGTCGTGTGTGTGGTGTGGCAAGACATAAAACTGGAGATGAGATACCTGACTTTGACGAGGGATTCATGCATTCGCAGTGGCGTTTTTGGATTTTAAATGATTGATTGTATTTAGGGCGGGCGTATAAGATGAGATGAGATAGGGAGGAAGGTGGAACTGAAAGAAAGAATTGAATCAAGTCGTTCATTTGTTTTTGGATTGTTGCTGGTTGGGGTGAAGTGGGGTGAACTGAAGTGTTCCTTGAGACGCCTAACTTATGCTTGCTATGCCATGGTGCCAAGAGCGAAATTTGGGATGCAAAAAGCTGAGACTCGAGATAATCCATTTGCCACTCAACGCCTCGATCATTGTTAAGAAGGATTCCGAATGCGGTCTAGCGTTCGATAAACCCCTTTCCGATAACAGCTTACTTGTTTAGTCAGCGGATTTTGAACTACCTCAAACACCAAAAACCGGGAGACACTTTTATACCATATCTTTCAGAAACCCTCCATATGGTTAGTATATACGACACATCATGGTATTGCATAGGAAACCTTTGGAGGCGTGTGAAAGATACTGGGCACGGAGATTTAAAGGTAAATCCGGAACTATCTCTTACTCGGAGTTGAGCAACTTGAGAGCTAATGTTGTTTACAGTGCGATTTACATACTAGCACTTATGGTCAAGTTACTTTAAAAGAAAGTTCAACCTTTGAAATAACACAAGGTCATTAGACTATCGCTACCAGCTTCTTTTCAAACCAAAATATAAGAATGTCGATTTCATGTCGCATTCCCGTTTCAGATTCCCCCTGAGGGTTTCAACATCGCACCGAGCGAGCACAACGCGACAGATTTAAACCTCATCTGAAATGCTAACAATCGAAATAACCTTTCAGCGAAGTCAAATCCGGGCATTCATTATCTTTTTATACTCGCGGTTGCAATTGAAGATACGCAGACACTATGAGAACTACAGCAATCCTCTGCGGGGTAGCTATGGCGGGGTTAGTGGGGGCCGGAGAGCTGGCTATGGACATGCAAATTGACTTCCCCCTCTACCCCCGCGCAACAGCAACATCAGCAGTAGCACTTCCTGCAGTAATTCTCTCCCCTTCCATCTCCCATCTCATCTCACCTCACCATCAACTAACCCAACCACCCTCCGCAGACATTCACGCAAGCCCTCGGCGCCGCCACCGCACCCCCCGTCACCTCATCCAGCGACGCCAAAAAGCCCTTCGCCGTCGCCGGCGAGACGTTCGCCGATCTGCAAACCGCAGTCACCAAGTCCTGCAGCCTGCAACACACAAACTGCTCTAGTGCTGCTAATAGTCCCGGGGGCGGTGGAGGCGGCGGCGGGAAGAGCACCGCGGCGGGGGTTACGGTCAATGAATGTGATCAGCAGCAGACGGATTGTCTTGCTGCGGGAACTGACACGAGCACGAGTGGGAGTGGGGGTTCTAGTGTGGTGAGTAGCTCGGATGGTACGGCGACGGCGACGGGGGCGCAGGTATTGAGGAGTGTGGATGCGAATTTCTTTTTTTTCTGTGATTCGTAGGTTCATTGGGGGATCAGGTTGGCGTTCTGGGAAGGAGCTTGGGGAAATGGCGATGTATGTTTTATTTTGTTCATCCATCTGAGGTATCTATCCATTAGATATCTTGATGTATGGGTTCGACTATTATAGTTGTATTATATAGCTCGTATAAGAGTCGAACTTATTATTGACGACTGGGACTATAGAAGTGATCCTCAACTCCAATAACCTGACTTTCATTCTGCTCTTCAATTTTCAGGTTTGCTATTGCTTAATTAGAAGATTTCTGGTTTAAGAGAGTAGTAACAAACGTCTACTTTTCCTAATTAAGTGGCGGGGAAATTGCTGCTATGTCTTTTAAACTTCACTCCTAATATGACAGCACTGCTTATATTGCCAGTGGGGTAAAGAGTGAGATTACGTAACTAGTAAAGCACTGCAACCGCCAGACTGGTTTTATATATAAGATTGCTTTTAATGTAGTGAGAATAGCTTCAATTTGACTAAAAGCTGGTGCACTAGATGCGGTGCGGGGTAATTTGCGGGGTAGACACTTCTATGTACGAGTAAAGTCACTAGCGACGGAATATTGTTTGTAAACTTGGCAGTCACTTATAGATTATCAGCAGACCGAGTTTCAGATGGAGACAGGGTGGTAAAGCTAATAGGTGTATGTTCATGGCAATAGCTCTCAGCTCATGCTCTGGTTTAAATGAAGGATGAGGATCTAAGTAAGATTTTACAAAGAACCTTGAGGTGTTGAAGAACGGCCTGTTCATGTTGCTTCTTGTCAACATCCGGAGTCGGAATCTAGGAAAGACAACAGTGGCTCCTATAACTGTTTCTTCCCCAGAAGGGAAATCAGGTTATTCAAGAGTATATTCCCATCCCCACAAAATCAGCCCCGTAACTCTGATACCCAGCAGCACCTCCCTGGTTCCCAATAACAACAGTGTTTGCTCCCTCTTGCCACCCACCAATCAACACCTTGAAAATACCCGTATCCTGCCATCCTAGCCCAGGACTGAACAGCTCACTGCTCTTCCCGCTCAGCGGAACCTCAATCCTCGTCACAACATCATTCACCGCGATTGTCAAGTTCCTGGTATTGGTTCCGTATAGCCAGGATGTCGAGAGAGCGATATCGTTGTTGCAGAAATATACGTCGACGAGCTTTGAGCCGGCTGACGCTGCAGTGATGGATAGGGATGCGGTGCCAGTGGGTGAGATGTAACTAATCTTAGAGCCAACAGGAGTGCAGAGGCCTGTGCTGCAAGTTGTGCGGACTGCGTCACCTGCGGGCGTGAAAGATGCGCTGGAATAGAAAGTAGGTGTTGAGGCTGCAGGCGCGGCGGTAAAGCTAGATAGCTCCAGAAGGATCGTTCCGTGGGCTTCGACGTGGCCGGTGTATGCAGTTGCGACATTACTGGCTGTGACACCGTTCCATATATCCTTCAGAGATCCTACCGTCTGTACACCCACATCCGTGAGGTTCAATGTCAGGCTTCTTGCCGTATTTTGCAGATTAGCCACAGCGACAACCATCCGACTTCCACTCAGGTCTCCGGCCCATACCTCGTATCCTTCTTCGGTCCATCTCCTGCGGAAGCTTGCCGCAACACCTAATGAATCCTGGTTATAGCCAATAACATCCTCGTTCAACAAGATATTCAGAGATTCTGTGTTGATACTTGTCGTGGTGTCCTTTAGCGCAGCACCAATAACCAAAGGGCTCTTCAGAATCGCCCAAAGCGAAAAATGAGTCTGTTCCTCAGGTATTGTCAAGACGTTATTCCCAACTTCTAGCATGTCGAGATCCAGCCAATGCCCAGGGCCTGCAAACGAAGTTTGTGGCACCACTTGGTTAAGAATCCGAGGGATAGTTCGGTATGCTGGAATAATGTCGTTGGTCACGCGCCACGAATTTCCCAATGCAGGTGCCCAGGCGGAAGGGAAGTCAACTCCCCATTCACAGATCTGGAAAACAATCGGCCGGTCCGTGGCTAGAAGGGCAGAGCTCATATTCTGGTATCGCCCTGAAGGAGAGACGCTTGGAGAATAATCTGTGTTTGGGTAGTCTGCTGAAGCTTCCGAGTAACAATTGTCGTCTAGTACAGTCAGCGAATGTCACACTTAGGAAGAGGATGCGTACATTTCAGAAGATCAGCTCCCCAAGAAGCAAAAGTAGTCGCATCCTGCTGTTCATGGACTGCCATGGATTAGCTTAATTCTTGTCTGACTTCGGGCCTCGTGGCATACACAAACTCCCCACCTGCGCAGGTGTTCCTGTCATGCACATTTGTATTCCAGCATCAGAGTATACCCCGAATCCAAGTCCCAGGTTGTGCACGAAGATACCCAATGCTGGGAAGCCACTAGGGAATATGGCAGAGTTCCATGTCATCGTCCCATTGGCCAATCTATCTGGCAAAGTCCATCCACAATCCACTGTCACAAAATGGTACCCCTGCGCTTGTAACCCAAGGTCCACCAATGCTTGTGCATTTGAGTGCACGATGGTCTCGTTCGGCGAGCAGGAGTAGTGATTATATGTGTTCCATCTGTGCGCCGTTAGCGGGCACCAGTTGTAAGGAGTGATTTAGCAATTTACCCCATTGGTGGTGTCAAAGCCAAACCATTGTCAAGGCGGGGACGAAGAGGGTTAGCAAAAGCATTGGCAGAGAGAGAAAGAAGAGATACCAGCAGAATAGTCTGCTTGGGAGTTAAGAGAGACAACATTTTGCTTCACTTCACTTGTGCCAAATGCCAAATGCTCTGGGGGAAACCGCATAAATATACCTTGGTACTACAGCCTGGCTCATGCAACCGACGGCTGGGTCATGAGATCTTCAGGATTGGCAAATAGCCGTTCCAAAGTTACTTTGTCATTAGCCACCGGATCCCCATGGTGATCCTGGATCGACTTCATAAGGAGGAATTCAAACCCCGCGTTCAAAACCCCGAATGCGCTCTAATGAGCCTAGAGACCATTGCCGGTATAATAGATAGCGAGCCCGCAAGATTTGGGATATTACAGAGATATACCAGCAGTGCTTTTGGGAGTATAATCATCCAAATATCTGGTTTTGATTTCAATTCTAAATTTTCCGAGTTCGTTCTTGAATTCAGATGATCGAATAAAGGCTATGGAGGCTGACTAATCACTTTTACTAATCACCAGATCCAGGTGCTCGGACTCTTTAGGCCTGAGGCCGCCAAGGCACCCTGATTCCTACGTAGGTATTCAAGAGAATGCCTTTCTTCAGTAACATACTAATCCTTTCAACTCTATTCTTTCTTGCAGACCTATCTCAACCTATAAGCAAAAGTCGAACTATAATACCATCGAGAGTGCAGGTAAATATTGGCAGCAAGAATTGCAAGCGCATGAGCGAAAGATTTAGCTCATCCAAAAAATGCAGCACAACCTATCTTTAGTCCGCAACTATACGAAGCACCATTGCTTTGTATATACCCGGACCCTATATACTATCCCATCGTCTTACCTTATGACGTCTAACTCCGCAGTGGCCAGCGGATAGCTCAGCACCGAGCAGTTATTGTGAACGATATCTACTTTTCATTCAGGAAGCCATAAAAGCGCAGTATCTTGAACTGATATACTACGCAAAAGACATTTACGGCCAGCTTCTAATAGCTATTCCATCCGGCCCTGGTTTTGCTGGTCACGTGTTCACTATATGATGGTTATATCATGGACGATGATTATGCCATGAAGTAATAAGAAATTCGTACTACCGAAGAGCTGGGTTTGAAAATACTTTATAAATCTGGGTGGAGTAATTTGAGGGACATAATTCTGGCAGCTTAGCATGTGAGTTTCATTGAATGAAACCTGGAACACTATGCTAACCCGACCAGATTTTATTCTAGATTAACTCAACTAAGCATGGTGCTCTGCCCATCTTCCGCCAAAGGCTGTTTGCCCTTATATAAATCCCCGTTTTTCCTTCTACTGTTTTCGAAAGCTGACTAAGCTTTCAAACAAGGCAGGTAGCGCTGCTACCTTCCCACTTTTGCGAAACCCCTATCTAGTGCCATGCAGTCAGTTTTTAGCATAGCCGTCGGGCACCAAGGCGACTGAAGAAACCTCAGGTTGGCTCAGATACGTACCGTTACTTCAATATTTTATCTCCAAGCTTCTATTCACCAGCCGGTACGAGAAAGGGGAATTTATATCGCAATCGCTTTCCTACTGCCATGATGGATACAAGCGGTAAAGTAAATGCAGTAAATGCTCCAATGGATGAAATTACTACAGTCCCTCAACTCCAAAGTTCACTGGACATTGAACTTCTAGCACTGAGCGAAACCGCTCCACCCCTTGAACCTGAGCAACCTCGAAACAAGTTCAGACTCGCTGCTATCTTGACTGCTTTATATGTCAGTAGGCTTCCCATCCTAAGCCAATATCCCTCCCACCTTGACCATCGGCTGATGTAGACCCCACTTTCAGCTAGCAATGTTTGTCACCGCTCTCGACCAAACAATTGTAGCAACCGCTATTCCTACCATTACCCACGATCTAAACAGTGCCTCTGGTTATGTCTGGATTGGCGGGGCCTACCTCCTTTCATCTGCAGCTTCTGGTCCTATTTGGGCTAAGCTTTCAGATATCTTCGGCCGGAAGCCCACCATTCTGATGGCAGCAGGCTTATTCTTTGCGTCTTCTATTTCATGCGCGAAAGCTAGTTCTATGAAGGTACTTATCGTAGGGCGGACCTTTCAAGGCGTGGGTGGTGGAGGTCTTGCGCCGTTGGTCATGATAACCATTTCAGATCTGTTTAGCATGAGGTATTTTTCCGCTACAAGTCAATTTTGAACAGATTTGAAGAAAGCTAATATTGGATAGGAGTCGTAGTCTCTATATGGGGCTGATGGAGCTTGTATGGATTGTAGCAGGCGGTGCTGGTCCTGTCCTTGGTGGTGCTTTCACCGAGAAACTATCTTGGAGATGTGAGTTTCAGGACAATTCCCTAATTTCTCTTTTAGTTGTGCTTATTACTCAATTGCGAACAGGGAACTTTTGGATTAACCTTCCTCTTTCGGGTGCGACGTTCATCCTTCTGTTCCTCTATCTAGACGTCCATAATCCTAGAACCCCGTGGCTTGACGGATTCAAGGCGATAGATTGGGCTGGAAGCTTATCCATAATTGCCTTGGTTCTAATGCTTCTCCTCGGACTCGAATTTGGCGGGGCTACCTTCCCTTGGGATTCTCCTCAGGTCATTTGCCTCATCGTGTTTGGAAGCTTGATGTCAATCTTCTTTATATACAGCGAGAAGCGTCTTGCCCTATATCCACTTATGCCCTTGAAATTATTCACGGATTGGTCGAATGCTGCTAGTCTGCTCTTGAAATTTTGGCACGGAATGGTAGGTGTTTCAAAGTCTTTCAGAGATTATGTTCAGAAACTTACCTTCACAGGTCTATATTGGGGCAGAATACTATTTGCCCCTCTACTTTCAATCTGTGAAGGGCTCTTCGCCCCTTGGTTCTGGTCTTTTGGTCATGCCTATTACCGTCACAGAAGCTGTAGCTGGTGTTTTCGTGGGAGTCATTATTCATCGCACCGGACGCTATCTGGAAATAATATATGTAGGTGTTTTGCTAATGACCCTCGGAAATGGCCTATACATTTTGTTCTCTCCTAAATCTGGGATCATCGAGATTATCTTCATCCAAATCGTAGCTGGCATTGGCGCTGGGCTGCTATTCCAAGCACCCCTCATTGCCCTGCAGGCTCTGGTTTCCCAGGAAGACACTGCAACCGCGACAGCTACCTCAATGTTCGTGAACAACCTTGCCACCGCCTTATCTGTCGTTATCGGCGGAGTGTTATTTCAAAACTCCATGGACATTCGGATTACGTCTCTGGCTTTACCACCAACCAATCTCCCCTCAAATATCACGGATCTGCTATCTGCAGGAGGTGCAGCGGCAAACGTAAAGCTTGTTAGTTCTATTCAAGATCAAACACAGCGAACGGCTGTTCGAGAGGCGTATGCCTGGAGTCTGAGGAACGTGTGGATTCTGTACACAGGGATTTCCGCTATGGCAGTAGTTACAAGTGTGTTCATCAAGAAACATCACCTGACGAAAGATCACACCGAGACAAAGACTGGCTTAAAGAGCTCTAGTCAAGATCTAGCCTGAATACGGAGCTGGTGTTACTAACAACTTTTCTGTTACTACGTTAGTGAAAGAACAATAAACACGTTTCCAGGTCACAGCAATGCAATTTTTATGGAACTTGTATGAAAAAACTTCTTTGTTATATTTCAATGTCTTTTCTATGGGACCAGAAAATTTTCACTAAAGATACTTAACAATTCCTAGAAATTCCTGAATATGTTTTAGGTCGAAATAGGACGAATCACCACTTGGGATTCATCGAGTGAGTATCGGTGGCCCGCTCTCTGGAAGGATAATCTCGCGCCACAACAAAATCAGGATGATGCACCTCTGCCTAACTCCAGATCCCGCAGCCCCGCGTGCTTTTTATTCTCCTTGCGCCATGCCCAGCTGTGTCGACATCTCAGGTCCAGACAACATCCGATGCCGATGCCAACGAAGAGAATTGAGACTTCCACCGCACAAAAAATCCTTTCTGTTTCCTCAACAGATAGCTCTCGGCCGATAAGATGGGTTCTTACCTCACGGACCGATAACTTTGGGGCAGCGGTGGGTGAGGCTGAAGCTTCAACGGTGACTGTCTGGACCGTCACATGGGTTGCCGTGGCATGCGCTGTAACCATGCTTGTTGGGGGAGGGGCTGTAACGATGATGGTCGTCGTCGACCTAGGATTAGCCGTGCCAGAGGCTGCAACGCTGCTTTCCTGATTCGTTGAAGGGGGAAACGCTTGCGATGGCTTGAAGGTGCCAAAAACGTTCGGTGACGACTCTGTCATTACTATCGGGGATGCATTCGCTGGAAAGCTTTTCGCCGGACTCGTGGAATGGGTGGATGTTCTTGATGGCGACGATTCTGTGACGACTATTGGGGAGACGGCCGTTTTCCTGGATAGGGTTGGGGCAGCGGGCGCCGTCACATATGCCGCGAAAGACGAGTGGTGGTGGACAGCTGTCCCATTTCTTGAGTAATGATGATGCCCCGTCCCGGTTCCATGGGCTGAGTGCTTCGCGGTCGTCGATGCAAGCAGTTGCGAGTGAAATTTTGTCACGGTGGCGGGTCTAAGCTTAAGTCGCGTTTCTTGGTTGCGATGCTAAGGATCTGGTCTGGGAAAGCCATGGCCAATAGCTGAGGGCTCGCTGCTGCGAAGCTTGAGAGGGTTATCGCCAGAGCAGTGATGGGAACCATGTACTTCATTTTGTAAAGTTTCGTCGCTTTATTCGCTAGTGGATTGTTTCTGACAGTGATGGATTTTTCAAGGAGTTTGTTTGGAGAGAAAATTTCTTGAGAAGTTGTATAGAGAGGAAAACATGTTACGTCAATCCAGATATAAGTATGCATCCCATGAGATTGTTTTCTGAGATAGAATAGCTTACTGATACTTCTCCTTTTATTATCCTAAAACAGTTAACTGTTTTCGAGATTCTTCAATTTCCTCGAATAATTGTGTTGACATCTGTTTGTTACACTATATGAAATCCTTTTGTTTCAATATGATGTCAGTGTTCAAACTCTTTATTTCTAAGTAGCTGTTCGCGTGAACTCAAATCTTCTGTTTTATCTGATCGTGGAAGTATACTGCGGGTCTTGTTTAGTAGACCCCAGACATTATACGGCAGATGTACGAGTTAATACATGGTTCACTACATTTAAGTCAAATTCTGCTTCTACGATATCGCGGGTTTATTATTGAATCACAGCATTATAAGGCTTTTTGTCTTGAGAAATGGTACGTATAATGGTTTTAAGTGTTTTCTTTGGTGCTGTTTTTATTATGTAGTCCTTGAAAGTAAACCATACCCATCTCAAATAGTCCATTTTCGTACCAGTAGGATTGTCTTGCTTGAATAAATTCTCCCATATTCTTTTCTTTTTACTTTCATCTAAAGTTTCATGAGTGCTGAGTGATCAGATCCTACCCCTCCGTAAAAACAATCTCCTGTTGACGACAATCTCCCTGGAACTCCCATTATAAAACAGCTTTGATGATCACCGTCATACCTAGCATACCTGCAACCCCCGTCGTTAGCGCAGATCTGAGCGCAATGAGAATCAGACGAAGCCCAGGGAATATTGCCCGTGTTTCCCCAGCAGGAGCACGATGACCACACTGCCATGTGCACCCCGTTATATGTTTCCACACGATGGCTGCCGCAGAGGTTTGGGGGGATTTGTCTAGGACAATCGGGACATACTCCTTGTGGGCCTTGCAGTCCAGGTTGCCCCTCGAGTCCAGTAGGTCCTGGCTCGCCTTGTGCTCCTTGTATTCCAGCATCCCCTGGTGGTCCCACATCCCCCATTTCACCCTTCTCGGGTTTCTTGACGTTTTCCGGGCCGCATCCTAATTGGCATCCATTTGCTGGAAGACAATGTCCTTCAGTATCTCCGCAGAATCTTAAATCGTAGTTAGCACGACAAACTTTTGTATCCATCTGAGCTGAATCATACCCTGAATTTGAGCAGCAAGGACCCCATAGATTTCCATCGCAGGACTTGCCACCAAATTCAGACCCACATCGATTCAGATTACCGGAGGTTGAGGCGTCGCAGTTGCTTTGACAGCCTTTATCGACGGAACAATGGTTGATGCTTGCCCCACAGTAACTATATGCGCAACCTGTAAGTCTAGCCATAGGTTATATCCTTCAGTAGAAGAAGTTCTTACCCTCTTGCTGAGTAGCATGGTCTCCATGTACTTTGATCGCACACTACTCCGCCAAATAAATTTCAACATCGTCCATCCGCGATCTCCTGGGCTGACTTTTGTCGAAGGTTCTTATCACCTATACTACTGGCGGAGCCATTGCCATATCCACAAAATTGCTCCGTGCTTCCGCACAATCGTACAAAGTTAGTTCTACTATAGGGTGTAATCGTTGACGAGGGATGGTGTGTACCCGCTTGCTGAGCAACATGTTCCAGCTCCATTTAACGGATCTGGATATAGAGGACATCAGCAAAGCTTGAAATGCATAGAGTTTTGGGACGAAAATTAGCCAGAATTTAGAGATGTCTACGTGAGTTACTGACCACATTCTAAGAAATGGAATTTGCCTCCACACAAGGGCAAGTTCTTTTCATTGAGCTCCCCATGGATTAATGTTACCACAGCGAAAACGCACAACAGCGGCAACCGAGCCTGCATGATAAAAAACGTATTGAGGGATACTTATGTTTGAATAAAATTAATAAATACGAGAGAAAAGTTTGCACTGCTCAAGTAAGTCTTTTAGTTATAAGGTGAACTGAAATTAATATAGTTGCACAGTCGGCATACAAGTTCAGCATCTATCTGGCAAAGATGATTCGCTCTCTCACCGCTCGAATTGACGAGTTAGTATTGTTCATACCTAGAAATATCGAGTTAGGAGTCTAAGATTTGGATCGATCAGCTGCTTTTCAATCCAACCTGAACCCCCTTCCCCTTCCCCTACCCCAGGTTGAACATCAGGTCGTTACTACGTCGTATACGTCGATCATACCATTTTGGCGGAGCTCAATAGGCGAATGCTAAATTTTCATAAGAAAACGGTTAGATTTCATCCGAAGATGTCGTTGTGACTTACGATTGGCACACGTATCAATATAACTAGACCTCGCCACAAAACCCAAAAACCCATGGGTACCCGCCCCATGGGTCCCCATGGGCGGGTCCATAGGGATTTCTAGACCCATGGGTCGGGTCTTGGGTCTTCCATTTTCCTGTGGGTACCCGCGGGGACCCATGGATAATATCATATGATTAATAATAGTAATAATTAATAAAGATATTAATATAAAACTTATGATAAGCTTATTTACTTAGCTATGGAAGAAGCTAGTATATAAGAAGCTAGGTCACATGACTAGCTAGTCTTTATATTTCCCATGGCTAGTTTCTATAGCCAGTTTCTTCTATAGCTAAGTAAATAAGAATATAATAATAATTATACTAATATCTTTATTAATTATTACTATTATTAATCATGTGATATTACCTATGGGTCCCTACGGGTACCCATGGTTCGGTTCCTATATTAGTAAGGACCCATGGGGTGGGTCGGGTCCCCCATAGCTTGGGTCTGGGTCCTAAATTAGGACCCATGGGGAGCCATGGCGAGGTCTAGATATAACAACGGCAGTGTCTTTTTACAAACGGTATAGATCTCAGCAAATGTTGAAGCTGAACATATGCATGCTTGAAGAAGTCTCATGCAAAAATTATTTTTTTCGAGAAAAGCTACCATTGCGGTGCAAGATCATGGATTCCTGTATCTCCTGTAAATGCAGAGACGCGCAAATCGGCAAAAAGTTCCGAGAATATTGTAGCTGAGGGAAAGCAATATATTCTCATTCAAGACATCTCTTTCGAATTCATCAGTGGTCGAACGGCAAGACCCATGTTCCTACAGGCCGGCAGTGGGAAAATAGAGCGTGATCAATGGCCTCCGATATCTACTACTTCCCAATGGAAAGAAACGTGCAGGTTATAAGAAGACAAAGCTCACCGTCACTTCGAGCGACGATACCTACTAGAGTTACATTCTACCAACTCAGCTCCTCCGTCGACGCGGGGTCGTTCAAAACGTACAGGTGTTACGAGACATCCAACGATACATTTCGTCTGGAGCGGTCCTTGCCTGTGGAAGACGCCTATAGAGAAATATTCTTGGCGGGAACGTTATTCTCTAGGACTGCACACGAAATGATATTTGATGGATCTACGAAGAGCTACCCCTCAGCTGAACACATGTTGATCAAATCCTGAATGAGCTCTGCTGTGGATTCAGCAATAATCTCTGTCTCGTGAGCTGAGATACTGCAACCCGAGTATGCGGTGCTATGGAGGTCGAAATATTTAACCATAATCGGCTTGACTACAAAATCAAAATCTTTCGCTCTTTCACTTTCACATAAATCTTTGCAAACGGCTTTCCTACCCTCGATCGTAAGCCTTTATATCACCAGACAAGTCATTTTATAAACTCTTTTGACAAATTGGCTCTTTCCCACTGTGTCTAGTTGGCAGTCATCATTATGATAATCTCAAGCTTGGGATTCACAGTGTTAGCACTGGTTCAGTTGGGATTTTCAACCGATCTTCCGTTCCCCCCTGCAGCTATTTACACCGAAGACATTCCCTCTGGAGAATGTGTCTCATCAGAGATCTGCCTGGGGACAGATGGAACAATGACAAGCGTGAAGGGCGCTCAATCTGGCTGCAAAGCCATTCTAATTTCACTTCGATGCTCCGGTCAAAACAAAACCGTTACCTATGATATGTTGGACGCCGTACCTAATGTCAAGTGTGACCAAGCCGTGATTGGTTTCAATCCTGATGGGTTGATACAGTCAATTTGCTGTGATTTCCCTCCAGATGAAGGTGATGGCGGAGATGGTGATGGAGGTTTCAAACCTCAGCCAGGCAAAGAAGACTGTAGGCCTAGACCCTAGGGTACTCGACGTTGCGACGTTGATCCGGTGAGTTGAGCTGCCTTTCGATGACTCCTTATTTGAGAAATGGTCTAAAGTATTTTGTTTTAACATGTTACAGGATGCTGAATGCACAGAGGACGATGACTGGGACTGCAGTATAGATGGACGAGACGGAAAAGACGGAAAAGATGGAAAAGATGGAGGAGATGGAGGAGATGGAGGAGATGGAGGAGATGGTCGAGATGCAAATTGCTACTGCACTGACTCAACAGGTTGTCCAATCATTGATCTTGCGATTCAGAAAATCGGCGGAACAGACTTCACGATTTTATGTAATAGATCTATCCCTGGCACCCTTCACGAAGAAAAGTCTGCCTCTTCAGCAAGAGAGTGCTCGCTGGCTTGTGCTGCAAGCGACAGCTGTTGGGGGTTGAGTTGGAAAGATGGAAAGTGCCAGGTCTTTGACGAATCTAGTTGCGGCCGTCCAGCAACACTTGATGTGACTGAAGGCTCTGTAGCATTTGTGAAGGATAACGCCACTGAGCTTGCTGGCCAGAAAGAAACACCAGATGAGTCAACGGATCCAGAGGTGCCTGTTGTGGTAAGTGATCAACCTCCCAGGCCTGATCATACACAAGAGCTCCCAATTAACTTATTCTATAGGTTCTCCGCAATCCCATTGCGATCGTAGGAAGCGTTGATGGCTCTCCGTTAAATGCAGACGATGAGTTCTACTCGCTCGAGATCCCATTTCCCATCACGATATATGAGGAAACTAGCACTCAAGTATACGTTGCGATTAACGGCTTGCTTAGTCTTGGGTCTGGGACTAACATCTTTCAAAATGGCCAATTGCCTGCGACTAACATCCCATCATATGCGGCGCTGGGTCTTTGGGGAGACTTGTATATCTACAAAGATACCCCCCAGGGTGTCTACTACGAAGTCAGTGGTGAAACTGGATCCAGACAGATAGCTTTCGAATGGTATTGCTCGCATTACAACCAGCCAACTCAGTACTATCACTTCACCATGACTTTCTACGAGGGCAGGCCTGGCGTTGTGACGTATAGGTACTATGATGTGCTAGACGCGGGCAGGCAGTCTACAGTTGGTGTTCAAGGAAACGGGGGTATGTGGACTCTCCCCGTGTCTGAAATTCTATTACTAATTTAGAGTCAGAAAACCTCCAATTCTCGGTTAACGAGGAGGTTATCGTGCCTGGGTTGGAGCTTACTTTTGATACTCACAAGACATTGACGTTCACTCAGACGACTTTCAGTGTACAATTGAAGTCAGGCTAAGGAAGGCGCGTGAGTGTATGGTGGGTTTGTGGGGGATAATACTATGGCGAAGAGGGTTCGTTGGAGATAGATTGACATTAGGACAAAGTACTACTTTTATAGGTTAATGAGATGCGTTTACCTGCTGCTGGCTTTATTGCAAACAACCACGAGTAGCTCAAATTCATGAGACTATATTTATATTTTGACAATCACTCTTAAGGTCTTAGTACGAAAGTAGTTTTCAAGTTCTACATTGCATGGATACATGCTCAGCAATGGGCTCCAAAGATTCTTAGAGGTTGTTCTTGTGACTGTCACGGGGAGAGTCTTAGGTCGAGCGCTGTGGTCTTTTTAAACTGTAGACTGGTAGTCCGTCTATCATAAATGAGAAATAAAAGGCCAGCTCTAAGTATATATAATTTAAAACGAGCAGACTAGATTTATGCACTAAGTGACTACGTAGGTTGAGTTAAATACAAATTAAAGAGCATAACTCAGTTCCCACACTATAGATTAAGAAAAGTCGGAATTTTCTCATATTATCGATTAAGGCGCTAAAGGCTTGTTTATGGACTGGGTCCGTGCTCTTGGTTATTCCCAACTTCCTGTTTCGATACTTTAAGCTTTTCTCTGCGTAGTTGTCTTAGTTAATTAACCACGCCCCCGCGGCCCTGCGCAAGCTCCGGGGCGTTGACCATGGCCGTGCCAGCTGACGCATCTATATCTAAGTGGGAGTAAAGAAGGCCGCGGGGGGAGTACGTCGCGCTTGTAAGTAGGGAGAGGGTATAAAAGTACGATTGCGCCGCGCCTTACTAGCATAAGGGAGAGATAACTAAGAAAATGTATGGAAACGCTCCTACCACTACTACTTTTGTAAGCTAATCATATAACCTGAAACTTTTTTGATCCACATTTGTAATAGTGATGGTTGAAGGGAATCATGACTCTCAATTTCTTGCCAGCAAGAAAAAGGTCACCCCACTGAATAATCTGTTTCTCTATTAAAGACCAATCAATATTATTTTTTTATTCGGCCCCACATCTCTATGCACCATATGGCTAACCTAGCCTAAATCCCCCACTCCGCAGTACTACTCTACTGTAGATTGCAGCCGCGCCACAACCGGGCGATGTCATGTACGGAGAGCCTTGCTGCCTAGAGAAAAACTATCTGCCTTGTGGAAAACCCAGCTCCATTCTGCGGCAGCCGAAGATGCCACTTGTCTTTTCGAAGATATCAAAAGTGGCTTCTTCAAAATCATTCACACTCTGGAATAGCACCAAATTTTAGTACATCCACCAAAGTGGGAAAACACAGCTCACCTCCAGGTGCAAATCGTTGCCAGGGAGGTTCGGCGCCCAGGCGGTCCGCCCCGCCTTGCTCCGCCCCGGACTCAGCCTCCACGCTAGTTGAGTTAGCTGGCCTTACCTTACTCCGTAAATCTGCACAACAGAAACGTGAACTATTCTCAACGCACAGCGTCCCTTCTTTCACTGTAGATTTGCTTTGCAACTCAACTGTTAGTCTCTTGCCAGCGTTTGAGGATCGGTTTGTTAATCAGATGATCCACTTTATCGAAAAGGTGAAGCACGTCAACAACTCTTTAAAAGACAAAGCTCTGTGGGACCGATCAATCTTCCTCTACCCCACCTCGGAAATACACAAGTACCAATGCGTCTCTTAAAACGAAGGAACGATGACGAATTCAGCTTGACCGAGTTCTATAATGATGACATTCCTCCCTATGCTATACTCTCGCATACGTGGGGAATGGATGGCGAGGAGGTCACCTTCAAAGACCTAGCAGAGGATACTGGCAAGAACAAGGTTGGCTATAGCAAGATCCGCTTTTGCGGAAAACAAGCTGCCAGCGATGGGTTACAATACTTTTGGGTAGACACTTGTTGCATTGATAAAGCGAGTAGCGCCGAGCTCACTGAGGCCATCAACTCCATGTTTCGCTGGTACGGTAGAGCAGCAGAGTGCTACGTATACCTCTCTGACGTCTTGACGCATGGTGATGATACAAATCGCTTGTACCAGCTCCCATCGAGCGCAGCCTTTCTGAAAAGCAAATGGTTTACTCGGGGCTGGACGCTACAAGAACTCCTTGCTCCAGCATCAGTGCAGTTCTTCTCACAAGAGGGCAAGCGACTTGGCGATAAGACATCGCTGAAGAAACAGATTCATGAAGCAACAGGGATTGCTATCCAAGCACTTCAAGGAAGCCCTCTATCTTGCTTTAGCGTTGCAGAGCGATTATTATGGGCAAGTCAACGCGAAACTAAACGCGAAGAAGATGCGGCATATTCTCTTCTCGGCATTTTTGGTGTCCACTTACCGCCCATGTATGGCGAGAGGAAAGAGAACGCATTTAGTCGTCTCCTAGACGAGATCGATAAACCTGTAAAGCCCGTATCGTTAAATCGAACATCGGCGCCTTCCAGGATCGGCCTTTCCGTGCTTATTGATCCGGGCCAACCTGCTCTGGAGTAAGTCCCGCTTCTAATGTCTAAGATTTGGAGTTTTACTAACCGAAGCAGCATTGTATTTGTCCATGGTTTCACCGGTCACCCCGAATATACATGGAGTGAGAAACAAGAAGTTGGCCGTAGACAGAATGAGCATAACGATAATGATGGTGAACGCCTATCCAAAAGACAGAAACTTCTATCATCCGCCGCGTCTCCTGAAACAGAACACGGAGTTTATAACCCAATTTATTGGCCGCGAGATCTTCTTCCTATCGCTGTCCCGAATGCGCGTGTCCTCACGTATGGCTACGATACAAGTTCGATTCGTTCTAGCGATTATTCTATAGGGAAGAGCACAGTCCAGGACATCGCATGGGATTTTCTTACCGGATTGGAAACAGCACGCCGTGTCCAGTCGTTGAGGCCGCTAATACTTGTCGCCCATAGCCTCGGCGGCATAGTTGTAATGGAGGCGCTGCGAAGATCCAGTGGCTGCAAAACACGCCAGAGTCATCTTCATAGTATCTACGAGAATACCTCTGGCATAATTTTCTTCGGGACCCCTCATGGTGGCCCAAATCCTCGCGAATTGATTCAGCATACCATCGAACGGGTCATCAGAGTCGATAATTTCAAGGTTAATGATCACATTATTGATACCTTCTTGCTCTATGTGGAACAGCTTAAGGACTGGGATGAGAGGTTTGGCTCAATAGCCCGTGATAGGTGTTGGACTATAATCTCCTTTCAAGAACAACACGGAGACATTGCCATTAGTGATAAAAAGGTAAAGGATTCAAATATTCCTATACAATATACTAATTATACAGGTTGTTGAAGATACCATTTCTCGTTTAAACGATCCGACAATCGAACTTGCTCAATTCATTGCCAGCAATCACATGGAAATGTGTCGATTTAGCGGACACGACGATGCCGAGTACAGAAAAGTTGTCGCAGCTATCAATAGGATCATAAAAGCTACCACAGAGTCAGCATATTCCAGTGAAATTGCGCCTACCGATACAAATCAACGACAGAAGTTTCTAGATCGCTTAAAGTTTGATCAAATTAATTCTCGACACGCAACAATCAAGAACGCTCACGCAAAAACATGCAAATGGCTACTCAGCACATCCCAGTACAAAGAATGGCTTGACGACAGCAAGATATCCGAGCATCATGGCTTTTTATGGATGAAAGGAAAGCCCGGGACTGGAAAGTCGACATTGATGAAATTTGCATATGCAAATGCTAAGAAAGCCATGGCAGATACCATCGTTATCTCATTCTTCTTCAATGCAAGAGGTGAAGACTTAGAGAAGTCCGCGTTAGGCATGTATCGATCCTTGTTGTTTCAACTCCTAGAAAAGCTTCCAGATATTCAAGATCCGCTTATAACACATGGGTCAAGCGTGCCCAATGACTTTGATCAGGATATCGAGACTGTCAAAAATCTTTTCAGCCGCGCGATAGAGTGCCTCGGACGACGCCGCCTGACTTGCTTTATCGACGCTCTAGATGAGTGCAAAGAGGATCAAGCACGAGATATGGTAGCCTTCTTCGAAAGCCTTGCACAATTTGCGGTTTCATCTCAAATCCAATTGCATATCTGTCTCTCAAGTCGCTATTACCCCTACATTACAATCGAAAAAGGTGTCTCCCTTGACCTAGGAGACCAGGACGGCCACTCGCAAGATATCGCCAATTATTTGCATAGCGAACTGAAGGCTGGACGCAGCAAGGTGATGGAGAAAATCCGGGACGAAATGCTTGAGAGAGCCTCTGGAGTTTTCCTATGGGTTGTCCTCGTTATTCCAATGCTGAATAAAGAGTTTGATCGTGGCCGCATCCATGCGCTTCAAAAGCGGCTTAAGGAAATCCCGGACGACTTGGATGCGCTGTTCCAAGACATTTTGACCAGAGACAATGAGAATGTCGAAGACCTGGTTCTGTGTCTCCAGTGGATATTGTATTCTAAACGACCCATGAAACTTGAGGAATTGTATTTTGCTATTTTAGCTGGAGTTGCGGCTGATGAATTGGCTGCATGGAACCCTGATAATATCACCGAGGATATCATGCAAAAATATATACTTAGTGCGTCTAAGGGACTCGCAGAAATGACCAAATCCAAGCATCGAACAGTGCAATTTATTCATGAATCCGTTCGAGACTTTCTTCTGAAAGGAAACGGACTCAACAGTCTTCGGTCTCACCTCGACAGCAACTTTCCAGGGTCTAGTCATGAGCGGCTAAAGGAGTGCTGTCAAACCTACGCAAGGATTGATACCTCGGAATATCTGCCATCTAACACGCCACTGCCAACTGCATCTTCTGGGGAGGCTGCGAGTCTCCGGAAATTAGTATCTGAAAAGTTTCCGTTCTTGGAATATGCAGTACAGAACGTGCTTCAACATGCCGATACTGCAGATGAGTACGAGATCCCCCAAACTCGTTTTGTAGAGGATTTTTTTCTTAGCGATTGGATCCATTTGGACAACCTCTTTGAGAAATATGAAATACGGCGACGTACACCTCACTGTAGCCTGTTATATATTCTCTCAGAGAAAAACCTACCGCACCTTATCCGGATTGAGCTTGATCGAGTTCAGCAATTGGATATAAAAGGAGAACGGTACAGCTTCCCGTTAAATGTGGCCCTAGCTTATAAAAACGAAGTTGCTTTAAGAGTACTTTTGTTACCAGATACTAGTGCCTGGTCAATTGCAATGGTGCCTCTTAACCGCTCTTCCTCTACAACCACAGAGTATCAAGAATCTATTAAATCCCTTCTCCAAATGGGAAATGGGATTAATTTTCAAAAAGTCAGAAGTATACTCTCGTGGGCCGCGGAGGGAGGATACGAGGCCGTGGTTAGACTGCTGCTCCAGACAGGCAAGGTCGACGTCGATTCAAAGGATAAAACCTATGGTCGAACGCCGCTCTTATGGGCCGCAGCGGGAGGATATGAGGCCGTGGTTAGACTGCTGCTCCAGACAGGCAAGGTCGACATCGATTCAAAGGATGACTCTAGTCGAACGCCGCTCTCAAGGGCCGCAGCGGGAGGACACG